TATAAGGGCTGGATATGCAGATAAACGAAAGTCAGTTAACTGAAAAGACGATTTTTGCTGGGGTCTCGGGCCTGACAGGGTTAACCCCAATTTAATGAGGATTACATGGGGGCCACCATGGACATACGTCTATGTGTGTGAGTTCTTGTATACGAGTGATCCCTGTTAAAACCAAAGTGTGTGAATTTATTCAAAGCAAGGATTAGGGATACAGTGGGATTTTTTTGCAGAAACGTTTTCCATCATATTTTCCTAAACAAGAAACGATCCACTAAGCGAGGACGGATGCTGACGTCTTTTGGATGTCTTTTTCTGGTCCGGAGCGGCTGTCTTTTTTTGGTATTTTTTCATGATTGGTTCAGATTTGGCCCAGTGTGGACCGGCCAAGGTGTGTGTTGTATTATAGACACACCTTTACAGGAGTAGACAGACAATCAGACTTTGGCCAGGTGTGACTGTGTAAGTTTCCACTATCAGTAGTTCAGAAGTGGTTGGTTTATTCTGTAGGTTGGACTACACCATCGCTGCCAGTTTTAAAGATTTTGAAAAAGCTAACATAAGTGCATGTGACAGATGGGAGCAATAATACAAATTCTATGTTGCAGTTGGCTCCCCTTTCCTATATTAAATGGATAAAAAAAGTATGTCATAATGCTTACTTTATTGAGAATGTATGTGCAGTTGAAATTTGGCCATAGAATGAATGACCAAAAAATATGTATTTTCAACATCTGTAAATTATGTCTTTTCATCTTTCATTCAGAACTTTTTATTTTATTTCACCTTTATTTAACCAGGTAAGCCAGTTGAGAACAAGTTCTCATTTACAACTGCGACCTGGCCAAGATAAAGCAAAGCAGTGCGATAAAAACAACAACACAGTTACATATGGGGTAAACAAAACATAAAGTCAAAAATACAACAGAATATATATATACAGTGTGTGCGAATGTAGTAAGTTATGGAGGTAAGGCAATAAATAGGCCATACTGCAAAATAGTTACAATTTCGTATGAACACTGGAATGATAGATGTGCAAAAGATGATGTGCAAATAGAGATATTGGGGTGCAAATTAGCAAAATAAATAACAATATGGGGATGAGGTAGTTGGGTGGGCTAATTTCAGAATGGCTGTGTACAGGTGCAGTGATCGGTAAGCTGCTCTGACAACTGATGCTTAAAGTTAGTGAGGGAGATAAGAGTCTCCAGCTTCAGAGATTTTTGCAGTTCGTTCCAGTCATTGGCAGCAGAGAACTGGAAGGAATGGCGGCCAAAGGAGGTGTTGGCTTTGGGAATGACCAGTGAGATATACCTGCTGGAGCGCAGACTACGGGTGGGTGTTGCTATGGTGACCAGTGAGCTAAGATAAGGCAGGGATTTGCCTAGCAGTGATTTATAGATGACCTGGAGCCAGTGGGTTTGGCGACGAATATGTAGTGAGGGCCAGCCAACAAGAGCGTACAGGTCACAGTGGTGGGTAGTATATGGGGCTTTGGTGACAAAACGGATGGCACTGTGATAGACTTTATCCAATTTGCTGAGTAGAGTGTTGGAGGCTATTTTGTAAATGACATCGCCGAAGTCAAGGATCGGTAGGAACCTAAAATGAACCTAACTTCAACGTTTGTAAAACACGTCTTTTAGACGTCTTTTCAACATCATTTTGCTTACTGAGTAAGAAATCCACTCAATGTTATCTCCCAAATGTAATTCAACCTCTGCGCATATGTAAATAAGATGAGAATATGTAGTGATTCATTCACAGTACATGATTGAATTGATTGTACTTGAGTATTTGTATTTATTAAGGATCCCCATTAGTAGAAACGAGTGTCTAAAAGACAACAGCTAGTTAAATGTTTCGCCCCTCTCCCTCTGAATCGATCTGTCTGCCAATCCATCATGTTAACCACATGACTGCCATGACAGCGTCAAATTCTCAGCAATCAACTCCCTTCAATCACTCAATCAATACACCACACAACAGTACATTCACATGTATATGTTTATTCCACATCCCTTTCTTTGTAATTCTTTAGTTATCTCACAAAAATAGAAGGTGCACACAGAAATTACAGCTCTGACGCAGGATTAGGTGCCATATAGACGAACGGGGATCCAGAACATTCAGGAGAACAATGGTCATCATAAACAGCTTTTTCCACTTTTGGCAAAAACAACAGGATAACATGAAGGTTCTCTTTTTCACAACAACACAAGTTTAACTACCTGGAGGGCAAGACCTTTACTGAGAACAACAGCACAGTGGTGTCTACAGGAAGAAGCATAGGATTGCATAAGTCAATAGCCTCATGAGTATCTGCAGATGACTAGACTGTACAGTAGTGTGAGGTGGAGGGGATAAGATGCGAACTTCAGCCTATTAGATTGCCAATAAGTGTTGTTGCTTGGCATGCATTGTTTGGGAAACTGTAGTAGAGCAATTATCTGTAATTCCTTTAAATGCCCAACAGCATAGTGAGCATTCCTATCTTCATAGGATCTGACATGTATGTGGTCATAGTGTTGAGTCCTGTGTGGGATTTCCCCTCTGTCTGATAACCAATATATTCCGTTCTCCTAATTCAATCAGATCACTGACTCTAGTGGTCAACTCAGAGACACTGATGTGCTCTACTCTCAAAAACAGTGGCTTCCTCTATGGGCAACAGAGTGACTCAGCGCTATTTAAGAGGGCCTGTGCTTTTCAAATGTGACGAAGTCAACACAAACATTACTGTTGATGTCACTGTTATTGCAGCGAGGTCAGACAACAACACAACCGCATCACATCCAACGAATCAGACTGGCTAGGAGTTCCATTACTGTATGTCCACACATACACACACCGATGATAACACTGTCTACCAACACACCAGAACAGAACATTCAACAACACGGTCATGCTTCGATATGCATATTTTTGATCATGTAAAATCTGTACGGAGAAAGCATGGCTTTGTAGAGCACTATTTCAGCGAAGACTGTAGTACTCTGCCTTTGTACAGCGTGAGTAAGTATGGTACAGTATAAGACATGGTAAAGCTCCCTGGGTTGTGGTCCCATTGTACAACAAACTAGTATGTTTGCAATAAATCCCTCCTTAGGTCAAGGCAAGTTAATAGACACTACTTGAAGGATAAATCCTACCCAACCCTCAACAACAGATCAAAGCTAAGATTGTCATAATTGTATGTTTTGCTAATGTCACAATAGGAATCTGGGGAGAAATATGGTGGGAAAAATACAGCTGCACAAACAGGAAAAACACAGCTGCACAAACAGGAAAAACATAAAGTATTCTTCTATAATAGTCATCTTAAGAATTCAATTTAAATATATGAATCTTTATTTATAGACTGATATTCATTTCATACATTCATTCTCTAATACTCTATTCATATTCACATTTATTATTAGCTATTTATGAAATAAACGTTTCTATATATTTTTTCACAACGTAAGCTATGATGAGGAACAGAGGACAATCTTTTTTTTTCACAATTTACTTTTTACACAAGAGGAACCAAACGTATGATCACTGGATCAGAGTCTGTGGGTATTGCAGATATACATACATGTACATTATGTAGGGCCGATAAATTACTGGAATATAGGATCTATGTACAAGTAGGAATGGACTTTCTGTGGAAATGCATGTTTGAATAGAATTAAAGGATTGCGCGTTGGCACAAACAGGCTGAAATGAAAGGGATGATATTGACAGACTGTCTGTATATTCAGGCTTAAGAGAGGTCAACGAGAGGAAAACAAACATATGCTTTAGAAATGCATCAATGTTGTCAATGTGCAACTGAGTCTCTAGCCAAGCTGGTGTTTTCACTTCTTAGCTTCTTCCTTTGGGAATGTTAGCTCCACATTTATGTTATTGTAGGCTTTAAAGTCTTAAAATATGTTGGTGCTAACTTATTAGCTTTTTGAATAACTTCTTAGCTCATTTTGACCATAGACAGGTAACCTGCCTGGTGGCTCTTACAGTGCTCTGCTAATGGAAGCTGGGAGGATGCATCCACAGCGAGGCTCAACCTCTGGACCAGCTGGTGGAGTAATCAGTCATTTTTGATCAAAATCTGTCATTTTAGATATGACATCCATCCCGTCACACCGGCTATGATACCTCATGCTAAGGGTTAAAACACAAGCCCTGACAACTCAGCCACTGGAATGTGGAAAACTAAATTGGCAGATAGACAACTATTTTTCCAACGGTCTACGGTACACCTCAAAATGTATACAAGAAATCAATGTTGTGATATTGGTGTTACTGAATGTGCCCAAATAATAATCCAAGTGAAACATAACACTGGAGAAAGGCAGGAGACAAAACATCTACTTGTCCACCATAACAACTAGCCAACATCTACTAACAAAAAGAGTGGAATTCTCTGGTTCCTTACAGGACAAGACTGACCAGAGAGATAGGAGTGAAACATTTGGCCCTGGTCTACAGAAAGAATAACTCTTGGATGAAGTTAGTGTGACAAATGCAAAAGCTAGAAAAAGTTAGTGTGCCGTGAACGCAAAAGTTATATTGTTAGGGTGCCGTGAACGCAAAAGTTATATTGTTAGGGTGCTGTGAACGCAAAAGTTAGATGCGGTGTGCCGTGAACTCGTTTGCCATGATGACCGCAGAAGGGCAACAGAACATAGTCCTAAATGCTGTGAGAGCATGAAATGAGAGGGCAGAGGGGAGAAGAAGAAAAGTGGTGGACATGATGGGAATCAATATCAGAGGCATGATGGGACAAACACGGACAGGACAATGATTATGGTTCTATAACTCTATGGCCCAGTGAGTTCGGAATGACAGCAGGAGTTCACATGGAACAAGCGTTGGTCATGGGAATGAATGGTGAAGGGGGGAAGGGTGTAATCACTAATGGTGGGTTCTAGTCTCCTCTCCAGCATCAATACTTCTACCACGTCTCTCCATCCCCCCACTCCCCTCTCTCTAGTGTCCCGGCTCCCCACCGCCCTCTACAGGTCGATGAGCTGGTCCACCATGAGCAGGGAGCGGGCCAGGCTGGGAAGGCTGGACTCAGAGCTGCCATTGTTACTGCGAGAGTGGCCTCCTGAAACTGGCCGGACAGAGAGAAGGGGGGTAGGGGGGCGGGCCAGGGCGAAGCAGGGGGAAGGAGGGGGGACAGGGGGAAAAAGCAAGGGAGGTAAGTAAGAAAGAAAGAACAGATAAAGAAGCCAGGGGAAAGATGGAGAGAAGATAAGGTTACAGAAGACAGAGAAAGACAGGAAGTAAGAAGAATTGCTCTCCAGATACAATCTAAGAGCATTAAGGAATAACTACACAGAGCGAGGATGGCTACTCAGATTAATCTATAAGGGGAAGGGGGAGCAGGGTTTAATACACTACTGAGGACATTGACCGGAATCAATCCCAGAGTTCCTCTGACCCTGGTTGAGGTATGAATGGCAATCTCAGTGGGACTGACCCACAGACTCGCTGCCTGTCCCTGCCTCGGTGTGAAGGCTGGAAGCCCACTGGGCTTACCTTGGGAGGAGTTTTTGGAGGTCATGACAGGGATGGGGTCAAACTCATCCTCGTTGCCTGTCTCTGCACTGGGCGGAGGCTCAAAGCCTGGGATCAGGAGATCAGAGGAGTCTGCAGAAGATGGAGCCGAGAGAAAGGAGGAAGAGGAGGTTAAGGTGTTTGGGAGAAGCATTGAGTAAAGCAAGCAGCACAACCAAGAGTATAAAGGAAGAATAAGAACTGGCAGAAAGCAAGAGAGATAAAGGAGGAAGCAGATAAGGGGAGTTAGAGAGCAGTGTGCCGCACAGCTACAGAGGGTTAGAGTTAGACTGCAAGTCAGTAGCCTGCTAGTGTAGTTGTCTCTCTTAACAGGGAGAACAGCTAGCTTCTTAACAGGGAGAACAGCTAGCTTAACAGGGAGAACCAAAGCATTTGTTCCTACGGTACACATCAAGTGTAAGTGGCAGCACTCCTGCCTCTCCAATTGTAGGCCTACGTGGCACAGTTTGGGCTTGTTGTGGGTGTGTGATTTTGGAAACAGAGCCTTACCTGCCAGAAACTGGGTGGAACCCCCAGATGCCAGGTCAAACTCTTCCAGAACAGACCCAACACCAGCAGAAGCCGGAACAGAAGAGAGAGAGGAGGCTCCAGAGGGGGGAAAGATGAGAGAGCAGCCCAGCAGAGAGTCCTCCCCAAGCAGGGGGTCTGTGGGAGGGAGGGCAGAGGAGTGGGGGGGGGGGGGGGGGGGGTTAGACAATGTACCTGGAATCATTAGTTCAGGATTTCGCCAGGATATGGCCAAAATGTGTTCCTGTATCATGTATAATAAAAAGATTGTAAGCACTAAGGACAAAGAATGACAAATAATCCACGTGTTCCTAGTAGCTCTTTTTAATGTAATGCTATAGTATATAATGTATGGTAATAGAGGCACTACACATCGAAGTATCCAACCGTAAGTGGGGGTATGGGGATATGTTTCCTTTGAAACCATAAAAAAATGAGGTAACTATCTGCATCAGCTTTTTCAGTACTGAGGTATTTTTATGTATAATATACTTAACTTTTGGTGTTTCGCAAACACTAATATATTAAGTCCAGCATAAACTAAATGGCTTAGTTTCAATTTGATCAATTCCAAAACTGTTATTATTCGGTAGATCTACTTCAACGTTTTGATTAGTTACTTTCAGTGATCATGTCTTTTTCTTTAACATTGATTATTAGCCATTTTAAACCACTTTCGCAGGCATTGTTGAGCACAGTGCTCAATCTGCAAGCATTGTGGGATGCTGCTCTGCATTTGCCTTTGTCGTTAAAGGTGGTTGTGCGCATAACCTTGTTGATGGTTGGAATGGGTGGTATCATCTTTGAATGTCAATTTGTTAATCATGATCCATTACCCCTCATAACACAACAAACTGCTTAATACTAATAAAGAAACATGCATATAACATTGTGTAAAAGTATCATAAAGTCCCCCAAAAAAAGAATTACCCACAATTGTCAACAACAAAAAACTGAGCCATATGGCAAGTTGTTGCAAGTTAAGTTGATAGAATATATTATGAAAATTGAGTAAATTAAACACAATTTCCCTTGCTGTTTTCACTCACAAATCATCAATTCAGACATTACAGTATATTAAATTGAACACCAAAATTAAGGTATTAAAATATTGAAGTAAAACCAGAAACCTGCATTTTTATGTGAAAATCATAGATTTTTGGGGGTAATATTTACTAAGCCCCTGAATCCTTTTTTACAGTGAGATGTGATGTATATTTGCTTGCATTATCAAATCATTCAAAAAAGCCCCAGGTGATGCAATTACAGAGCCCTGCATGCAATACACAACATAATGAATGTCTACTTTTGAAAAACAGCCTCATTCTGTGAATACCAGTTGTACAAGGACCCTGCATCTTTCATAAGCACTCGTATAGTATACACTACAATAGTCTGTCCAGCCAAGAGAAGACAGACATCCTTTTCTCAGAGTTCTTGAAGTGGGCTTATGCTTTTTTATCTCTCTATTTCAGTTTGCCATTTCATTTCATACCCGTTTTGAGTCAACATTAGTTATGAATGACAACAATAGTAACTGGAACCACCAGGCTACTTATTACCCAGCTAACAACAAACTTTCCCACAACTTTAGAGAACGTTCCCTTGAGTCTCATTAGGTAATTAACTAACATTTCCATAGGAATGTTCCTGTGATGAGCAAGGAATGTTTCCAAGATACCATTCCCTTAATGTCAAATAGAACTTACCCAGAACGTGGTTACGTGGTTAAGATATTAATGTTGTAGACACATTTCATGGTAACGTTGCAAAAACATTAATGTGTCCAGTTCTGTGGATTAGGAGAATATTCCATCAACGTCCGACAAAACATACACAGAACATGGTTGCCATGTTCTCAGAATATAAGATATTAATGTTTTAGACACATTAAATGAGAACGTTGCAAGAACATTTGTGTCCAAAGAAAAATTAATTACACATCACATCTTGTTACTGTTGCCGAGCCAACCAAGGCCCTGATTGGTGAACCACTGATCCATTCATAGCTCTTTGTCAGATGGCAAGGTTAAGGATACTCACACACAGTGGTTTTAACATATAGTTTTTTCAACTTACATATTTGACATACATGATTACATTGTGCTTGTTCATTTACACATTCATTATTATTATTCAACATGTCCTCACCTGGGATTTGAACTGACAACCTCTTGGTTCGCGGTACTCCAATCTTCCTGCTACGCCATGTCCGTGTCAGGTATGATTTAAAGCTGCAATATGTAACTTTCTGGGTGATCCGACCAAATTCACATAGAAATGTGTTTTATAGATCTGTCATTCTCATTGAAAGCAAGTCTAAGAAGCGGTAGATCTGTTCAATGTGCGCTGAAAATATATTTCACAGCGGTTTAGATGGTACAATGACTCTCTACACTATACTTGCTTGTTTTGCCACAAACTGAAATTAGGCGAACTATTAGAATTTTTGCAACCAGGAAATAGCAGAGCGATTTCTGCATAGTGCATCTTTAAATCGGACTATTCCATAATTGATTTGATTGACCTATTTCAGCAATTGAAGGTCTTTCTGTATAGTTGTCTAATGTTGGTGGGGCATATTAACCTGTTTTAATGATCCTCCTGAATTACTATGATCAATAAAATATTGTAAGCAATAGGGTGAATGCACTTTGAAGTAAATCTCAGCTCTGTTAGAAGTACACTCAAGAAAAATGTTTATTGATCATAGTGAATTAGGACTATCATTAAAACAGGTTAATATGTCCCACCAAACATTAGACAACTATACAGAAAGCCCTTCAATTGTTAAAATAAGTAGGCTAAATCAAATGAACTGATAACTGAGACAGATATGGTGGGGTAGAAGGAAGATCTGAATGCCTTGAACCAAGAGGTTGTGAGTTCAATTCCCAGATGAGGACATGTTGAATAATAATTACTGTATAAATAAACACGCACAATGTAATCATGAATGTCAAACTGTGTCAAATATGTAAGTTGAAAACACTATGTTAAAAGCACTGTGTTTGTGCGTATCCCTAATCTTGCCAACAGAAAAAAGAGCTGTGAATGAATCAGTGGTTTACCAATCAGGGCCTCAATGGGCTTGGCAACAGTAACATGGCGTGATGTGTAATGAAACCATTTATGTGACCATCAAGCGACGTCCTGGCAACTGATACACATGAATGTTCTTGCAACGTCCCATGAAACGCGTCTAGAACATGCATATTGTATATTCTGAGAACATGGCAACCACGTTCTGTGTATATTTGGAATGTGACGTTGATGGAATATTCTCCTAACCCTCAGAAAACTGGACACGAATGTTCTTGCAACGTCCCATAAAATGCATCTAGAACATTAATGTAGTATATTCTGAGAACATTGTAACCACATTCTAGACATTAAGGGAATGTTCTCCTAACTTTAACACCAAAACATGCTAAAAAGGTTAGATAAATTAGATTGTTCCCCTAACTAACGGAAAACTGGACACTCAAACATTAGGGGAACATTACAGGTAACATTACAAAAACATTCTATCTCCCTAGAATTGTTAGCTGGGTAGACAGACACTCAAATTATCAATCAACTGTGCTCATTGTACTCAATGGGCTGGCTCCATTCCGTCCTCTGAAAACGTTACGCAATGACCAAAGACCAGTGTCGAGGCAGGTGGTATTATCAGTAATAACAGAAACCAAAACATTTTGGTTTCCTCAGATATAAATAATCTTCTTCCACTGTTGCATTAAATTGTGGGGGCATCTAGATTGTGTGTCGCATTGCCTGTGAGACAGAGACTAACCAGGAAGCAGCGTAGAGTCTGTCTCAGACTGGGACACAGGAGCCTCCAGACCAGGGATCAGAGAGTCCAGACTCACAAGATAGTTCTCTGCTGGACCCACTACTGTACATGTAGAGAGAGGGAGGAAGAGACAAGGAGAATGAGATATGGAAGCAGAGAGAGGGAGATGGGGAGGAAGAGAAGGAGAGATGGAAGCAGAGAGAGAGAGATGGGGAGGAAGAGAGAGGAAGAGAAGGAGAGATGGAAGCAGAGAGGGAGATGGGGAGGAAGAGAGAGGAAGAGAAGGAGAGATGGAAGCAGAGAGAGGGGAGATGGGAGGAAGAGAGAGAGATGGAAGCAGAGAGAGGGAAGCAGAGAGAGGGAGGAATGGGAGGAAGAGAAGGAGAGATGGAAGCAGAGAGGGAGATGGGGAGGAAGAGAGAGGAAGAGAAGGAGAGATGGAAGCAGAGAGAGGGACAGAGGAAGAAAGGGTGAACTGAGGGCAGACAGAGGATATTGCCATGGAGCATTCCATGGAAAACATTCACATTGGGAAAAACAAATGTAACAAAGTGTGTACAGTAGTGAAATCTCCAGGAGTGACTGAAAGAACTTTACCGTTAACAGCCTCCGCCACAGTTCTGCCAAAGGGATCAGCCATGGACAGGAGATCAGGGAGCAGGAGGTGTGTATCTGGGGACTTCAGTCCCTCAATATGCTTCTCTACAGCCCCAGAGAGAAAAGAAGAGTGAGGACGAGAAAAAGGAAAGAACAGTAAGAAAAAGTGAGTGGCAGCAATACTCTAGCTAGCAAATACTGCATTTCACATGGTCATGCCAGAACAGCAATTAAGGAGTGAGTGAGGATGGAGAAAAGGGGTGAAAAAAGGAAGAGAGAGATGAGGAGAAGGTGAAAGACAAATAATGAATAGGAATGAGGGCAAAGGGAACTAGGCTATAGGGAATGTGAGAGGATGGGTGTTCAATGAGGGAAAATGATGTTACAGCTGAGCCTCCAGCACATAATGTGATGAAAGGATAGAGACTACAATATAATCTACATGTTCATAAATATAGGCCTATATAGATAGGCTAATGTAAATTTTCTGGAACTAATATGCACTTCGTGGATGGACTCCGCTGCACATCTTCCAAGCCTGCGTCATCTATTACTTTCAGAGAATGTATAGAGCGTCCTTATTTATCACTTACATATAGGCCTATTCAGATAGGCTAATGTACTACAACTATAACCACTCAACCCACCCATGTCGTTAAGGGCCGTTTCCTAGTATGGTGTAAGAGGTAGCACTGCAGTTCATGGGGAGCCAACATGAAACATTGTTGATTAATTGATATTTACTGGCCAATAGTGTATCCTAGCTCCAAATAACCTGATATGGCTGAGACGTAATGATTGTTTATCAAGTGCAGCTATTCCAGTCAGAAGTGATTGAGAGCCCCCATGGAGACAACCTGCCATGGTATTTACATGATCAACATTGATATTATTTCCATCAATAGGAGCCTTGGGAACTGGAACGGTTTTCAATTGTTTAATGAAGCTATTGACTTTTATATTAGCTTTCAAGGGTTTTGTAATCAATGATATTGATAAAGAAATGCAACTAAAAACATATAAATAACAATGTACGTACCAGTAGCTTAAACAAAACAGAGATGGAGGGAATGTAAAAATTGAGAAGATAAAGAAAAGCGGTTGGGGATAAATTAATGAATTACAGATGGATAAGACAAAGATGATAACAGAATGGCTAAAGAATGACATATTAGGTCAAAGAAGCTGAGACAGACACATTAGAATATAGCTAAATAGAGGAAAGAATATCACCCTACAGAAGAATGAAAGGTTAATCTCAAGCAGAGAAACTGTTGGCCGAGGAACCAGTCACTTTGAAGAAAAGTTACTCTTTCTTTACATCACATTCCAACAGGCCAGTTAACAAGAGTTTAGAATTTGTACTCCCAAAACATGACAAGGAATAACTTGCCTACATCGAGATGTTTGTTCACACAGCCACCAAACCCTAAATGTTATTTTCACACCAGATGAATAACAGTCACACAGAGAGCGCTAGCTAGTAGCTACATCCACTATCTGGGGTTCCCTCTAAAGACCACTCTGCACACCAGGTCATCTCCCAATACAACACATGCACACAACTGCTCTCTTCCTGCCTCTCCACTCTGTACTTACAGTTGAGTCATGGACCAATGCACAGCACAAGTCCACTCTAGCCCCTTTAACTGGGGAAAGAGAGCACTGTACATCACTGCTAGCAACATGACTACCAGTACTTTAGCTTTCTTAGAGCAATATCCCACATTTCACAACTTGAAATACTGCATTATTTTGGGCTCTATTTGTGGCTTAGTTAAAAGAAAATTAGGCTTGGAATGTTTTTTGACAACCACTTAGTAAAACAGCCAAACGTTGCCATGATTAATTGTGTGTGGATCCAAGGGTGCGTTTGTTCTTTAGCCTGATGTTTACTGGCACCTGTCAAAACAACAAGCACGACATGTCTTTGTAAATTCATCAGTTATTCTGCACTCTGGCACTCTCAAACCAGAGTGCTCTGAACTCGGGAGTAGATTGCCAGCGTGGATTTACGAATGCACCCTAATTCTGGTCTTCCTGTTGACAATAGCCAGCATCTCAGTATGTCATGTTGATACTCTATGTGGGTAAGTGATTTGGAGTGTGCTTTTACAAATAGAAAGGGACACAACCTTACCTGGAGTGTCTGAGAGTGCTAGGGCGCTGAAAGGGACCTGAACAGTCAAGAAAGACTCTCCTGTATCCAGTCCAAGGATGTCTTCAGATTGTTCTACTAGTACAGCAGAGAAAAGACAACAAAACAGACAGACTAACGAACACTGCAGAGATGCACAAAGCATGGCATGTTGTCCATCTGCATCTGTAGAGATGATTGGGCATGGATAGTTCAAGGCAAAGACACAGTGTTTTCTTGGTAAGTTATTCAGTGAAGACATCCCATTAAATGGCTAGCTAGGGATTTTGAGCATGCAGAGTTAATGAAAGCTTTCAGAAAGGAATTTATGCTGAGCTTAGTGTTCAGATTGCCACAGATGAGGTCACAGAGGACCATTCACTCAGCAGGAATAAATAAGCACTTTTATTAACTTCTACTGTCCTGCAAGAGTTGCTGACTTTTCTCTTAATTTCAGTTGCTCCTCAGTTCACGCACCTTGGTTGGAGAGCGGAGTAGCGGCAGAGTTTCCTTCCCTTATATCCATAGAATGACATATAGAATAGTGTATTATAGGATTTCTATGGGTGTGTCACTGGAGATGATTGTAATGGAGAATGGAGGATGTGATTGCTATAGAAAGAACAAAGGAAAGGGAGCTATGGGAATATCTGAAAGATATATAGTAGGGAGATTCATATAATATTAATAATATAATATTAATATATGCAATTTTGCAGACACTTCAATCCAAAGTGACTTAGTCATGCATGCATACATTTTACGTATGGGTGGCCCCAGTGGGAATTGAACCCATGACCCTTGGTGTTGCAAGCACCATGCTCTACCGACTGAGCCAGATGGGACTGAACCACTATGAGTGATGGAGTTGAGAAGGGTCTCACCAGCAAGTTGGGGGGCTGTTTCCACAGGGGAGGAGACCTCTAGCAGGCCAGGTATCAGATTCTCTGTGGGGGCAGTCTCCACCTCTGCTTCTGCAGCCACGTCTAATAGCGATAAAGGTCAAAGTGAATGATACAGCTTTATCTGATTGGAAATACTATTACAGCAGAGGATATGTTAGAAATTAGGTCTAAGGGTGTATTTTTAGCTCCTATCTCTTAGAATTGAGAACACATGGTATTATGTTGTGCGTGCAGCCTTACCATCTGCCTGTTCATCAACCAGGTCTTTGTTAATCAGTTGCTCTGCATTGAGATTGGAGAAGTCATCATCACCAAAAGGGTTCCAAGTGGGCTGCGTGGGGGAGCCGGTGGCAGGGCCAGGGACAGAGGCAGGTGAAGGGGCAAAGGCAGCAAAGTTGCCGTCTTGGGCTGGTTCACACAAACTCTGCTGAAGGGACCGGGTGGAATTGGGTGGAGTTGTACCGACAGATCTGGAAAAACACACAAATGCCGGAACAGGTCAACTTGTTGTTCCACACTGAAGAAGGCACAGTGATGCCGAAACTTTGGTGGTTTACCTAATAAATTACTGGGAGTTATATATCTAAAAAATAAATAAAGAGTCGCACACTCATATATATATATATATATACACACAGTGGGGAGAACAAGTATTTGATACACTGCCGATTTTGCAGGTTTTCCTACTTACAAAGCATGTAGAGGTCTGTCATTTTTAATCATAGGTACACTTCAACTGTGAGAGACGGAATCTAAAACAAAAATCCAGAAAATCACATTGTATGATTTTTAAGTAATTAATTTGCATTTTATTGCATGACATAAGTATTTGATCACCTACCAACCAGTAAGAATTCCGGCTCTCACAGACCTGTTAGTTTTTCTTTAAGAAGCCCTCCTGTTCTCCACTCATTACCTGTATTAACTGCACCTGTTTGAACTCGTTACCTTTATAAAAGACACCTGTCCACACACTCAATCAAACAGACTCCAACCTCTCCACAATGGCCAAGACCAGAGAGCTGTGTAAGGACTTTAGGGATAAAATTGTAGACCTGTACAAGGCTGGGATGGGCTGCAGGACAATAGGCAAGCAGCTTGGTGAGAAGGCAACAACTGTTGGCGCATTTATTAGAAAATGGAAGAAGTTCAAGATGACGGTCAATCACCCTCGGTCTGGGGCTCCATGCAAGATCTCACCTCGTGGGGCATCAATGATCATGAGGAAGGTGAGGGATCAGCCCAGAACTACACGGCAGGACCTGGTCAATGACCTGAAGAGAGCTGGGTCCACAGTCTCAAAGAAAACCATTAGTAACACACTACGCCGTCATGGATTAAAATCCTGCAGCGCACGCAAGGTCCCCCTGCTCAAGCCAGCGCATGTCCAGGCCCGTCTGAAGTTTGCCAATGACCATCTGGATGATCCAGAGGAGGAATGGGAGAAGGTCATGTGGTCTGATGAGACAAAAATATAGCTTTTTGGTCTAAACTCCACTCGCCATGTTTGGAGGAAGAAGAAGGATGAGTACAACCCCAAGAACACCATCCCAACCGTGAAGCATGGAGATGGAAACATCATTCTTTGGGGATGCTTTTCTGCAAAGGGGACAGGACGACTGCACCGTATTGAGGGGAGGATGGATGGGGCCATGTATCGTGAGATCTTGGCCAACAACCTCCTTCCCTCAGTAAGAGCATTGAAGATGGGTCGTGGCTCCGACCCGAAACACACAGCCAGGGCAACTAAGGAGTGGCTCCGTAAGAAGCATCTCAAGGTCCTGGAGTGGCCTAGCCAGTCTCCAGACCTGAACCCAATAGAACATCTTTGGAGGGAGCTGAAAGTCTGTATTGCCCAGCGACAGCCCCGAAACCTGAAGGATCTGGAGAAGGTCTGTATGGAGGAGTGGGCCAAAATCCCTGCTGCAGTGTGTGCAAACCTAGTCAAGACCTACAGGAAACGTATGATCTCTGTAATTGCAAACAAAGGTTTCTGTACCAAATATTAAGTTCTGCTTTTCTGATGTGTCAAATACTTATTTCATGCAATAAAATGCTAATTAATTACTTAAAAATCATACAATTTGATTTTCTGGATTTTTGTTTTAGATTCCGTCTCTCACAGTTGAAGTGTACCTATGAGTCACACACTATATATATATATATATATGAGTGTGTGACTTTTTTTTTTAGCTTATAGTTTATTCGCCATTAGTCAGCACCTCTACACAAAATAATTTTCTCTGGGTGTGCGCCAGCTCATGCTTTTTATTACACATTGAAAACTAGACATATTTAACTAAGGCTGATATTTCAGGTGATGATGTCATTTCTGCATTTCTTACATTAACTGGTTGAGGCCATCCTCTGCTGTGTTCTCTTGCAGTAGTTGGCTGGAGTCACTTCCAGGAAGCCCACCGACTGCATTCTGGGTAATGTCGCTCGGGGCGCGCTCTGCAGCCTTTGGCGAATGGTGCGGAGTCTTGGACAGACCAAGAAGAGAAGTCTGGAGGGACGGAGAGAGAGAGAAAGTATAACAAATCCCAATAACACTCACTAACTATTAACTTTCAATGCCAAATACAAATACATACAACACTAAAGAAAATGAGGCAAACAAAGTAAAATAATTAAAATAATTAAAGTAAAAACGGACAGAAAGGGTCAAACAAAACAAAAGTCTATCACACAGAAATGAGGGTCATTCATACGTTCACAATGTTGCAGGGTTTTTCAAGTTACTGAGAGAACAACACTAACGAACAAAACTGAAAAGACAGCAAAATGATGAAGGCTGATGGCATTGGCTTGACGATGGATGGCTGGGTGGAACAATGGATGGTCTGATGTCACTTTCAAGCAAGCTTTGAGTGTGTCTGTCAGCTCAGGGAGCAGCTGTCAGACACAGGCTGCAGGTATGTTACCGTCTCAGTCTCAGCTGTGTTGTGACTGGTCTCGGCAGGGGTGGACTGGGTCTTGACAGGTGGCTGCTGGGCCGCTTCTGGCTGGGCTACTGGTTGCTGGGCAACTGGTTGTTGAGGAACTGGTTGCTGCCGAGCTGTAGGCTGCTGTGCAGCCGGAGATTGGGCTGGAGTAGGCTGAGCGGATGGCTGCTGCTGGGCTTGGCTCTGGCTGGCCTGCTTACGACGTGCTGGGGCTTTGGGTGGGGCTTGGCTGGACGGGGCCTGGGCCTGCTGGGGGTTGGGACTGGCCACCAGGGGAGGCATGGCCTGTTGGGGGGTGCTTGGGGCCTCCGCCTTGGTCTGCACAGGTGGGACTCCTCCCACTGTTGCGATTGGCTGCTGCTGCAGCTGCCCTGGCTACCACACAAAGACGGACGACAGCACAAGGCGTCAAAAAAACGAGACAACGAAGGCAAAGCTGCTTCACACACAGACAACACAGTGTGCCACTAAGAATGCACGTGACTGTTATCATGGGTTCACCTGCATAACATTTCACTTTTTCACACAGAATTATATACCGGTATACCGTAAAACTGTCTTACCTACCTGAAAACTAAGGAACCATTGTTGCTATAGGAGAGGAGACTGTAAAAAATGTAATCCCAGGAAAATATAATGGAGTGCAATTGTATGGTAACGTTTTTTTTTCATCCAATTTCCTCCCGAATGCACACTTCTTCTCTGTTTGGTCAAGAGTTTCCTGCACTTCAATAACCTACTTATCTAAGCTTGTTCCATGATGACAGTCTACGCAAAGGTCAGCTGAACAATAACTCAACCCTGAGCAGCAGCTTGTCTTACAGATGGCAAGTTACAATAACCCAACCCTGAGCAGCAGCTTGTCTTACAGATGGCAAGTTACAATAACCCAACCCTGAGCAGGAGCTCGTCTTACAGATGGCAAGTTACAATAACCCAACCCTGAGCAGCAGCTTGTCTTACAGATGGCAAGTTACAATAACCCAACCCTGAGCAGCAGCTTGTCTTACAGATGGCAAGTTACAATAACCCAACCCTGAGCAGCAGCTTGTCTTACAGATGGCAAGTTACAATAACCCAACCCTGAGCAGCAGCTTGTCTTACAGATGGCAAGTTACAATAACCCAACCCTGAGCAGGAGCTTGTCTTACAGATGGCAAGTTACAGCTGGTATAAGTGGATCTTTGTCACTAAGTGACAAAATCCTATGAAATAAATTAGCTACATTTTTTCAGACCCCTTAGAGGGTAAAGAGGAACATTTTCTTTAGAAAAGGTTTTTTGTTGTTGCAATTAACCATAATTATATTAACCCACTTAAATCTTTCAAAATAATGTTCAGTGTTTTGTACTGTAATTGATTAGATTCATTAAAAGCTTCCAGATGCTCAGAAGACACGTCATCCACCACCACCAACCTGTAAGCACCCACCAGGTGATGGCAGTTATTTTTGCACCAGAAAGCTTACAGCTATCACAGTGTAGATGTTGAATCATGCCAATTAGAAATCTTCCAACAGTATCTGTGGTTGATTCTCAGAGTAGGAGTGCTGATTTAGGATCAGTTTTTCCTTTTAGATCACAATTAATAAGATTACACCATGGACACCTGATCCTAGATAAGCAATCCTATTCTGTTCTGAGACGCATGATACAAACAGCCCCTGGTCTCCTATCCAAAGATCGACCAGACCCAACCCTGCTTAGCTTCAGAGAGAAGCCAGCAGTGGGATGCAGGGTGGTATGGCTGTGGGTTTGGGTGTTAGGTTGCTGCCTGAGTTTACCTGCTTCTGCTGAGCACCAGATTGGGGCTTTCTACCCAGCTGGGGTGTGGCCTCACTGGGAGGGTTATGTGATTGGCCGGTCGCTGGCTTAGGCGGAGCCGTGGTCTGTGCCTTCTGTGATTGGAGGGCTGCTGCTTGCTGGGCAAGGTTTAAATTCACTCCTGTAAGGAGTACAGAATATGGTTACTATACAAGCCATGAAACTAGGAAAATATATTGCATGCTATATACAGTACCAGTCAAAAGTTTGGACACACCTACTCATTCAAGGGTTTTTCTCTATTTTTACTATTTTCTACATTGTAGAATAATACAATGTAGAAAATTGTAAAAAATTAAGAAAAACCCTTAAATGAGTAGGTGTGTCAAAACGTTTGGCTTGTACTGTACATCTCTGGCAAGACCTCATTAGATGAGACTGTTGAGAGACAGACTAAGCAAACCAGCTATTAGTTTTTTAAGAGAGCCTATAATGTTTGACTAAATATAACTAAGATCTAATTTGTGAAATAATTCAACCAAATTTGGCAGAATGTTCTGAACAGTTTTCACCCAAAGAGGCATTTATTTGAGTTACTGAAAAAGGGGGGGGGAAACAACTGTTTTAGGTCAGTGCAGGTCCAGCTCTATGTTAGCTAACTAGCTTCTTTGGGTACATGCCCACTTAGGCAGATATTTATTTATCATGGCTATTACCCACTGTCCGCCATCTTTATTTACTTCCATTTTCTCCAACTTAGCTACTGCCATTAGGGTAGAGAACCTACCTCAGTCACTTTTGTTTATCTCTTGAGTAGCTACAGTGCCTTCAGAAAGTATTCACACCCCTTGACTTTTTCCACATTTTGTTGTGTTACAGCCTGAATTTAAAATGGATTAATTTGCGATTTATTTTGTCACTGGCCTACACACAATACCCCATAATGTCAGTGGAATTAAGTTTTTACAAATTAATTAAAAAAGAAAAGCTGAATGTCTTGAGTCAATAAGTATTCAACCCCTTTGTTATGGCAAGCCTAAATAAGTTCAGGAGTACAAAGTGTTATGTTTGGGGCAAATCCAATACAACATTACTGAGTACCACTACATATTTTCAAGCATAGTGGTGCTGCATCAAGTTTTGGGTATGCTTGTAATCGTTAAGGACTGGGGAGTTTTTCAGGATAAAAAAGAAACGGAATGGAGCTAAGCACAGGCAAGATCCTAGAGGAAAATCTGGTTCAGTATGCTTTCCACCAGACACTGGGAGGTTAATTCACCTTTCAGCAGGACAATAACCTAAAACACAAGGTCAAATCTACACTGGAGTTGCTTACCAAGAACACAATGAATGTTCCTTAGTGGCCGAGTTACAGTTTTGACTTAAATCTGCTTGAAAATCTATGGCAAGACCTGAAAATGGTTGTCTAGCAATGATCAATAGCCAATTTGACAGAGCTTGAAGAATTTTGAAAAGAATAATGGGCAAATATTGCACAATCCAGGTGTGGAAAGCTCTTAGAGACTTACCCAGAAAGACTCACAGCTGTAATCGCTGCCAAAGGTGATTCTAACATGGGTTGAACACTTGATGAAGATAATTTATTTTTCATTCATTTTTACAAATGTTAGAATTTTTCTTCCACTTTGACATTACACAGTATTTTGTGTAGATCATTAACAAAAATGACAATTAAATCCATTTTAATCCTACTTTGTAAAAACAAAATGTGGAAAAAGTCAAGGGGTGTGAATACTTTCTGAAGGCACTGTAACATGCCTCTAAATAAAACCACTGTTAGCCTAGTTGCAGTACATAGGCAGAGTGACAGAGTGGCAGAGTGAGGGTGGGTACATACCTAGAGGAAGGGCCCCCCCGGCAGGGAGGTTGGCCCGTTTGCGAGGGGTGAGGGCAGCCGGCTGGATGGGTAGGATTCCAGCGCTGGGTGGGGCATGGCCCGCTTTGGGCCTCTGCCGGGGCGTGATGGAGGTCTCAGTGGTGGGGATGGGGTCTGTCAGTCTGGGGGTCAAAGGTGAGAATTGTTGATCAACATGTCAATGGTATGAAATTACCTTATGAATGATGTTAAAGCAGAACAGAGAACACACAACTGACAAAAACGTAGGATACAGGCTTCAATACTGATGTGTATAACAACAACAACCAGAAGATTACTCAGGCAGCCTCCTGTATGACAAACACCACAGACTTACCTGGCCTTACTCTGTGTCTGGCTCTGGCTCTTCTTCGCTGCAGCAGCCTCGCTGGCTTTGATTGGCTCAGGGAGTTGAGCAGGAATTGGAGAGTTCTATATGGGGGTAGATTAGAGACAAAAGTATTGTAAATTCATATTTGTGAGGGAATGGATCCATATGACAAGCACATTCAGTAACTTCAGGCATGGATTGAATAGAACATTGGTAGATCTGGCCCTGAGCCCAAGAGAGACCAATCCACAGACTGTTCCCAGAACAGAGAGAGACTGAAACATACAGTACAGGACACACTAGAGAGAGACACCCCAGCACAGAGATAGACTGACCCACATACACTGAGTGTACAAAACATGAAGGACACCTGCTCTTTCCATGACATAGACTGACAAGGTGAAAGCTATGATCCCTTACTGATGTCACTTGTTAAATCCACTTCAATCAGTGTAGATGAATGGGAGGAGACAGGTTAAACAAGGATTTCTAAGCCTTGAGACATGGATTGTGTATGTGTGCCATTCAGAGGGTGAATGGGCAAGACAAAATATTTAAGTGCCTTTGAACGGGGTATAGTAGTAGGTGCCAGGCACACCGGTTTGTGTGTCAAGAACTGCAACGCAGCTGGGTTTTACACGCTCAACAGTTTCCCATGTGTATCAAGAATGGTCCACCACCCAAAGGACATCCAGCCAACTTGACACAACTGTGGGAAGCATTGGAGTCAACATGGGCCAGCATCCCTGTGGAACGCTTTCGACACCTTGTATAGTCCATGCCCCCAATGAACTGAGGCTGATCTGAGGCCAAAAGGGGGTGCAACTCAATATTAGGAAGGTGTTCCTAATGTTTTGTACACTCAGTGTAGACTGACCCCAGAGCAGAGAAAGACTGACCTTCACATTCTGAACAGGGCAATCACGGCGAGCCTGTTTAAAAGCAAAGTAGGACACCTGGTAGATGTCAGGTCTTTTGTCAGGGTCGGGCTCCAGCATGTACCCTGACAAACACCAACAGAATGAGAAGGAGAGGTGGAGGAGGTGGAAATGTGAGAGAAAACGTGAGAGACCAATCAAACCACACCAGAAGAGACAAGAGCAACACACTGACTAACCCACAACCTGTAGCTTAAGCATGGTTAGATGAGGAGGTAACATGTTGTACAGGACTGATACTATATACACCACATGTCCAAAAGCATGTGGACACCTGCTTGTCGAACATCTCATTCCAAAATCATGGGCATTAATATGAAATTGGTCCCCCCCTTTGCTGCTATAACAGCCTCCACTCTTCTGGGAAAGCTTTCCACTAGATGTTGGAACATTGCTGCGGGGACTTGCTTCCATTCAGCCACAAGATCATTAGTGAGGTCGGGCACTGATGTTGGGCGATTAGGCCAGGCTCGCAGTCGGTGTTCCAACTCATCCCAAAGGTGTTCGATGGGGTTGAGGTCAGGGCTCTGTGCAGGCCAGTCAAGTTCTTCCACACCGATCTCGACAAACCATTTCTGTATAGACCTCGCTTTGTGCATGGGGGCATTGTCATAGGTACACTTCAATTTTTATCATAGGTACACTTCAACTGTGAGAGACGGAATCTAAAACAAAAATCCAGAAAATGACATTGTATGATTTTTAAGTAATTAATTTGCATTTTATTGCATGACATAAGTATTTAATACATCAGAAAAGCAGAACTTAATATTTGGTACAGAAACCTTTGTTTGCAATTACAGAGATCATACGTTTCCTGTAGGTCTTGAACAGGTTTGCACACACTGCAGCAGGGATTTTGGCCCACTCCTCCATACAGACCTTCTCCAGATCCTTCAGGTTTCGGGGCTGTCGCTGGGCAATACAGACTTTCAGCTCCCTCCAAAGATGTTCTATTGGGTTCAGGTCTGGAGACTGGCTAGGCCACTCCAGGACCTTGAGATGCTTCTTACGGAGCCACTCCTTAGTTGCCCTGGCTGTGTGCTGGAAGACCCAGCCACGACCCATCTTCAATGCTCTTACTGAGGGAAGGAGGTTGTTGGCCAAGATCTCGCGATACATGGCCCCATCCATCCTCCCCTCAATACGGTGCAGTCGTCCTGTCCCCTTTGCAGAAAAGCATCCCCAAAGAATGATGTTTCCACCTCCATGCTTCACGGTTGGGATGGTGTTCTTGGGGTTGAACTCATCCTTCTTCTTCCTCCAAACACGGCGAGTGGAGTTTAGACCAAAAAGCTCTATTTTTGTCTCATCAGACCACATGACCTTCTCCCATTCCTCCTCTGGATCATCCAGATGGTCATTGGCAAACTTCAGACGGGCCTGGACATGCGCTGGCTTGAGCAGAGGGACCTTGCGTGCACTGCAGGATTTTAATCCATGACAGCGTAGTGTGTTACTAATGGTTTTCTTTGAGACTGTGATCCCAGCTCTCTTCAGGTCATTGACCAGGTCCTGCCGAGTAGTTCTGGGCTGATCCCTCACCTTCCTCATGATCATTGATGCCCCACGAGGTGAGAACTTGCATGGAGCCCCAGACCGAGGGAGATTGACCGTCATCTTGAACTTCTTCCATTTTCTAATAATTGCGCCAATAGTTGTTGCCTTCTCACCAAGCTGCTTGCCTATTGTCCTGTAGCCAATCCCAGCCTTGTGCAGGTCTACAATTTTATCCCTGATGTCCTTACACAGCTCTCTGGTCTTGGCCATTGTGGAGAGGTTGGAGTCTGTTTGATTGAGTGTGTGGACAGGTGTCTTTTATACAGGTAACGAGAAAAACGAACAGGTCTGTGAGAGCTGGAATTCTTACTGGTTGGTAGGTGATCAAATACTTATGTCATGCAATAAAATGCAAATTAATTACTTAAAAATCATACAATGTGATTTTCTGGATTTTTGTTTTAGATTCCGTCTCACAGTTGAAGTGTACCTATGATAAAAATGACAGACCTCTACATGCTTTGTAAGTAGGAAAACCTGCAAAATCGGCAGTGTATAAAATACTTGTTCTCCCCACTGTATATAGTGTACTTCTAAAATATGTAATGGTATTGTAGAATCTACACTAATTTTCCTAGCAGATACAGTGAGTGGTGGAATACTGACGGATGAGGCAGTGCAGGTCGTAGGAGTAGCGGGAATTGTCAGGAATGGTGAAGCTGCCATCACAGATGGCCACCTGGCTCTCCCCGAAGGGTAGAGTGAAGTAGCACAGCTTATACAGCAAACAGCCCATCGCCTGGAGGGAACACACACACACATTTTACATTTGAGTCATTTAGCTATTAGGGTTAAGTGCCTTGCTCAAGGGCACATCAACACCTAGTCAGCTTGGGGATTCGAACCAGCGACCTTTCAGTTACTGGCCCAATGCTCTTAACCTCTAGGCTACCTGCCTCCACACACACACCACACACTTATTAACTTACATAACATTTAGAGCAAACATCCAAATGCCTCGAGAAACCAGATGGGAAAAGGCTTCTCCACACAAATATGGCTTTTCAAATGTGCTACTGTAACAACTACCTGAGATTCCTCTTGCCACTGGCCAAAGACTTGCTTTACGTTTTCATTTAGTTTATCTATATTTTATACAATTTTCATGGGCATTCTGTGACAAATTGCTGAAAAGTGTATTGTAAAAAAGCCCTATACAAATCAGAAGCTGGCACTGATACCATAACTGAAGCCTAGATCTAAAATACAAGGTCCACTCACCCATATGTCAGCTTTAGTAGTGATAATCTTGCTATTGTAGAGGTTCACCATCTCAGGGGCACGATATGACAGAGTGGTGTACCTGAGAGGGAACGGGACAAAGTCACAAACAGGAAGATGAAGAACATCATGAGCTTTATTACATTTACATTTTAGTCATTTAGCAGACACTCTTATCCAGAGCGACTTACAGTTAGTGAGTGCATACATTTTCATACTGGCCCCCCGTGGGAAAGGAACCCACAACCCTGGCGTTGCAAGCGCCATGCTCTACCAACTGAGCTACAGGGGACTATCACAAGGCTTACTTCGAATATGCTCGGCTCAGGTGGACTTTAAAAGGTTTATGTTCTTCTGAACGGTATTCTATGGCTGTAAAAAAGCACCATTCAAAATAAATGAAACGGCAGGAAATGGTACGCATGTAGGTTCACAAACTTCTTTATTTCCTCATCGACTACTGGCACTCCTTCGGTCTGTGGGTTCTGGAACTTATTGGTGGCGCTTCCGAAGTCACACAGCACGTAGTGACCCTTATCATGTAACAGGATGTTCTCCACCTGCAGAGACACAAAGGAGAAGAAGAGTCTAACAGAGGCAGAGAACGATAAAATATGAGTCACGTAATGGCTGCTATTAAAAAAATATATATACTGTAATGTGAAATGAATAAAAAAAAGTGTCTGCTGAATGGCATATATGAATACCGGTAACAGCTTGCCTATATATCAGCAAGACTAAGCCAAGAAGAAGATGAGAAGAGAGAGTGGGTGAGTACAGAGAAGGGAGGTGGGAGAAAACACAGGAGAGGGTTCCTACAGATGTAGGATCTTAATTTGAGCCAGTTTGCTACAGCGGAAAATAATCCTGCAGCAACAGGAAATGTGAATTTTTATGTGAATTATAATTAAATGATTGATACATTTTTCGTAAGGGAATTCTGAAATTTCAAAGTGGAAATTACAAACTTTAGATGCCTTTTTATGCCTCAAATCCACTAAGTTTTACATTTCCTGCAACAGGGTGATCAAATTAAGATCCTACATCTGGCCTCCCCCGTACCTTAAGGTCCCTGTGGATGATGGGTGTCTTGCCCTGGTGCAGTCGAGACACGGCGTCACACGTATCACAGAAGATCTGCAGAACCTCTGCCTCGGTGAAGCCTGTCTGCAGACGCTGGTTCATCAGGTTCACCACCTGGCCTCCTGCAGAGATACACCACTGAGTTTCATTATTGAACACACACACTGGGAATGGAGACAACAGGTACACTCGGTCACACCTATCTTGCACTCAGACAATCAGTCTCTTGATAATCTAAAATGACCACTTCACAATAGGGGCCTTTACTCAGAGGTTTCACATGGTGTTATATAGCTGTGATGTGGAAGCTCACAAGGCTTGGGCGATATACCGTATACCAGGGTAGGCCTATATGGAAGATAGACAGAATAGTTAGGCAGAACTCGCCCTCATGTGGACTACAAGTGGAGTGACAGTGGTCCCCCTTTATTTCTACCTTTCATAGTCACTTTTGAGGACTCAACCACACTTGATTGAACACAGATCCTTCAGTAAGCACTCACCTTTACAGTAGTCCATGAGGATGAGCACTTCCCACACATCTCCTCCTCCACAAGTGGTGATACTAGAGTCCAGATAGCCAACAATGTTCTTATGGCCGACCAGGTCCTTCTGCGAGAGTACATGGACACCCAGATTACATTAAAAGACAGAGTGAACATTATCATGCCACTGAATTTCAAACTTGTCTCCTGAGGAAAATTTGGTTGCAAATCATTGTTGCTGATAAATAAGGTGCTGCAGAGTTTGTAGGGCTGCCTGTATGCGTGTCGTGCATGTGTTTTCATGTGAGCAAAGGAGAGTACTAGACAGAATAGCTCCCTTTTCAAGCACGCCATGGGGTAATGCCACAGCAACTCACCATAATCTGGATCTCTCGCTTGCACACCTGCAGGTCGTGCTCATTGTTGACATACATCCTCTTGAGGGCACAGCGGAGCCCCTGGCTGGTTCGTACCAGGAACACAATGGCAAACCCCCCTGTGAGAAAGAGAGAGAATGAGACCAAATTAAAAGTTCAGTGTTTGGAGGTAAGCAACCATTGGAAGTCTGAAGTAATAGAATATAAGAGATATTTCAGGTCATGAACAAATCACTTTCAAGTGTATTCAGGTGTCAAGATCTGCTTGCATTTTGTATTTATATTGATGTGTGTATTTACTGTAATTTACGTAATTCAGGGATCATCTGTAAAAGATACCTTGGTCTCAGTATGACTCCCTGATAAAATATAGGTTAAATAAAAAATGTAAAAGAGGTTGGGAATGTGGGCAACATCACTCTGTGCTAAAAACTATTTATATTACAAAGGGTCATTTTTCTTGAAGAAAAATGGTATGACTTTTTATATGTTAGTGGAAGAAGTTTTTACATTTAAATTGTGAGAGGCTAGTGTTGAAAAACTGAGGCTAGTATAGTAGTGACTGCATTATAAATAGTAGAGAGATAGAAGCCTTTAGTGATTGTAGCTCAGAAGTAGTAGGCTAGTAGTAGGCTAGTAGTAGTAGTGGTAGCAGCAGCAGCAGTAGCAGCAGCAGCAGCAGTAGTAGTATTAGTATTAGTAGTAGTCTAGTAGTAGTAGTAGCAGCAGCAGCAGCAGTAGCAGCAGCAGCAGTAGTAGTAGTAGTATAGTAGTAGTAGTAGCAGCAGCATTAGTAGTAGTAGTAGTAGTAGTAGTAGTAGTAGCAGCAGCAGTAGCAGCAGCAGCAGTAGTAGTAGTCTAGTAGTAGTAGTAGTAGTAGTAGTCTAGTGGTAGTAGTAGCAGCAGCAGTAGTAGTAGTAGTAGTAGGCTAGTAGTATTTTTAGTGCAACTGAAGCATCCACAATGATGGCATTGCCCCAGGGCAACTGTAGGCTTACAGTATATCTAGCCTAACTGTCTTAGCATGGAATTCACGGTAACTCAATGTTGATAACCTACATATTATACCATAATGGTGTTGAATTTCAATGTGTTGAAATTGCAGTGTACTATGTAGATCTATACAATATTGCCATGGGAGTTGCTGAGCTAAAACTGTGGCAGGGATAGGAAACTTCAACAATATGCAAGACAGTCTTTAAAGACTGTTTCTATTCAGCATGTTTCAGACTAGAATGATGGACAGAATAGGCAGAAATCATGAGATGCAATTTGCCTTACTCGTCAACAAAAGCGTTGAATGTGAGAAAGTGATAGGAACATTATTGTCGTCATGAACCGAGGTTGTTAGAGCAAAATTGCAGTCTTTAAGAAGGTTGTGCAAAGTATAGTAATTTTACAAGATGTCAGGGCTACATCATTACCCTACCAGTGAACACAATCCACATGAATGACTCTACTGTGCAGGATAATGGACACTGCAATTTCTCAAGCATGCAACATCTGTCCCTCTCTCACACACTCACATTAACACGCACATACACACATACTCACCTGGGGATATAGAGTGACAGGTGTATTACCTTTCATTCAGGTGTATGATACAAAATGATAGTGTTATGTGGTAACAGGGGTCGGGGTCAATTTGAGAATTGACATGTGCCATTTATTTTTATGTATATGATTGTGTTTATTTAGGCTAGGTTATGCATTTACCATTTTCAAAGACTAGGCCAATTTATTTTTCTATTCTTTCATTAATTCATTTAAAGGATTGACTAAATTTACATGGAATTGAACCCAAGACAGATGCTTAATGACAAAAATATACTGTTTTGAGAGGTGATTTGTCACCACTGCACAATTTGCACAGGGAGTCAGGGATTAATGTCACATCACTTCCTCACATCAAGGCATTATGGTCCTGTGTGGCTCAGTTGGAGTAGCATGGTGCTTGCGGGGGACAAGTAACAAAATGTAGGCACTCACTACTGTAAGTCGCTCTGGATAAGAGCGTCTGCTAAATGACTAAAATGTAAATGTACAATTATCTTCAGGTTCTTTGGACTTCACTACCAATTACCTGAGTGATATCAAACGATCAGCAACTTGATCTGCATGGTCTTAGGTTGTCAAAATGAAAAAAATACCAGGTTTAATGTTCCCAATGGACTTTTGTTTAAGAGTAAAAATACTTAGACACCCCAGACATCTCTCTCACTGCTCTTCAGTACCTGAAAATGAGCTATCATTCCTAGCGAGCCTCTTCTCGTGTCCAAGGTCACACATTTTAATAAATCATACAACACCCAAAACAGACGGTTCCTGAGCCCATTTAATCAGTGCCTCATACGTAAGGGGATTTCCAGCCAACAAATGTACCAAATGAAGCTGCTGTTCTAACAATGATAGAGCTGTCAGTCATTTGACTGATATGACTTGTCATCTCTTGCAGCAGCCACACACTTGATCCTCAAAACTGCTGCCATGAAAGCCACACTACAAACAGCATGGCACCATGGCTTACCCATCTACAGTGAAATGGTCATTGGGCTGGGTGTGTCAAAAGTAGTAAAATAGTTTTTCCTATTTTGTTGCATTACAACCTGTAATTTAAATGGATTTTTATTTGGATTTCATGTAATGGACATACACAAAATAGTCCAAATTGGTGAAGTGAAGTGAAGAAACAAATTATAAAAAATTAATAACGGAAAAGTGGTGCGTGCATATGTATTTACCCCCTTTGCTATGAATGCCCCTAAATAAGATCTGGTGCAACCAATTACCTTCAGAAGTCACATAATTAGTTAAATTGCACCTGTGTGCAATCTGTGTGTCACATGATCTCAATATATATACACCTGTTCTGAAAGGCCCCAGAGTTTGCAACACCACCAAGCAAGCGGCACCATGAAGACCAAGGAGCTCTCCAAACAGGTCAGGGACAAAGTTGTGGAGAAGTACAGATCAGGGTTGGGTTATAAAAAAATCTGAAACTTTGAACATCCCACGGAGCACCATTAAATCCATTACTAAAAAATGGAAAGAATATGGCACCACAACAAACCTGCCAAGAGAGGGCCGCCCACCAAAACTCACGGACCAGGCAAGGAGGGCATTAATCAGAGAGGCAACAAAGAGACCAAAGATAACCCTGAAGGAGCTGCAAAGCTCCACAGCGGAGATTGGAGTATCTGTCCATAGGACCACTTTAAGCCGTACACTCCACAGAGCTGGGCTTTAAGGAAGAGTGGCCAGAAAAAAGCCATTGCTTAAAGAAATAAATAAGCAAAAACGTTTGGTGTTCGCCAAAAGGCATGTGGGAGACTCCCCAAACATATGGAAGAAGGTACTCTGGTCAGATGAGACTAACATTGAGCTTTTTGGCCATCAAGGAAAATGTCTGGCGCAAACCCAACACCTCTCATCACCCCGAGAACACCATCCCGTTTTTCAACAGCAGGGACTGGGAAACTGTATATTTTAATTCCAGGTTGTCAGGCAACAAAATGCCAAGGGGTTGAATACTTTCGCAAGCCACTGTAGGAGTGTCAGGAATAGGATTACATAATGTGGAAAGTTGACACAACAGTATGTCTCTACCAATGGCATACTGTAGCCATATCACTCTGAAACCTATGCCTGCCTCTCGCTTGAGCATAACTGAATTCCATAATTCCATAGTTAGTGCAGCAGCTACCTGACTGGTAATGACTGATCCATACTGAAACATTGTTGCAGTTTGCTGTCTGACTGAAATGTCACATGACATGTTCTCAGTCAACATGGACATCAAAACATTGTTTCCAAAAGACAAGCATCAATTCCTACATCTCACCTTCGGCCACTGTTTCTTCAATAGTGACTTGGTGCCGCCCAATAGTACATGAACGTCCAATTAAATTGCCACCTGCATGGCTGGATCCACTGTTACCCCCTCCAGAACCAGGTCCAGAACTGACCAACTCCCGACGAGATGAATCAAAGAACTTCCTCATGATAGTTATCAGTTAGATCTCGATGATCAGGAAAAATTATCCTCACTTCAATCAAAACGATACAGACTGCTCAAATGTCCTTGTTTCCAGTTGTGTCAGTTTCGCAAATTAACCTTATATTTCTGGACAAGGCCGAAGGTTTGTCTGACACAGCCAGTCTTGTTGTTTGCAGATGCCAAAACAGCAGTGATTTCTTCACCAGCACTGGCAGCAGTTAGCTAGCTACTTAGTCAATGATGAGATAGCTATCCCCGAATGACCAGTCTCCTATTTGCTTGACAGACTAGATATAGAGACAAGATAGCAGACTAAAATAATTCTGCTAAACCTTGTGCAGTATTACACTTGCTATCGTCTTGGAGGAGGACATTTCTCCATCAGAGCAGCTGTTCAGGGGGTTGTGGGTCCCTCCACCTCCGCGGCTAGTTTATGACATTTCATGTAGCTAAGGTTATCCTCTAAAAAATTATGTCCGTTGCAATATATACTCGGTGCAACGTGCCAATGTTACACGATCCTTCCATATTCAATGTCTTTCAGCAAATAATGATTATTTCCAGGCCTACTATAATACAGCATCTAGCTAGCTACAATTAGCTAACGGCTAGCTGGCTGCCACGACCCGCTAGCTAGCTATTTCGCAACAGGAAATGCATATCAAACAGGAAATGGTCATTCCGATACTTGTATATGGATTGTAGCTAGATACTTTCGATCTCAGTTTGGTTTGACAGCTCCGTTAGAAATGTTAGTAGTTAATGTTAGATTTACGCAAGCTAGGCTAATACAAGCTTCGGCTACTACGACAACATAGCTAGCAGTGGAGTCATGGGATCTGTATTTCTACGATTGGGGGGCACTGGTGGGGGAGCATTTATAGCTAGGATTTCATCCAATAGGCCTATGCGACAGATTTTCATGCGAATATTCTCAAATCTGCATAAAACAATATGGGCATTTTCCCACCAGAGATATGTTTCTATCAAACGGACTTTTTGCAGATCAAAGGCTGTGCGTGATGACTTAGTGCACATTCAAATAACTTTTACCGTTACATTCCCATGTAGGCTACCGAATTAAAAATACAGGTTAAATGGGTTTTCCATTGGATTTTCAACTCTACTGATAGTTTTGTCATAATAACTGTTGTATTATTTAGAAAATGTGCCCAATCTGGTCTCTAGCCAACAGCTCACAGATACAGTGCGTATGCTACCACATTATGAGTTTATTATGGATAAGAGCGATATTATTTGTATTTTTCAAACAGGAGCCAAGCTTCGATCATCATGTCACCAGAATAAGACCCTCTATATTTATTGGAAAAGAGCATCAAGCTCATCACCTTGCACATTCACCACCCTGTTTTTGATTTGATGTATTAGGATCCCCATTAGCAGACACCAATGGTGACAGCTAGTCTAATTGGGTTTCAACATATAACGAAAAAGACATTACAGAAAAAATACTTCACAATTTACATTTAAAAACAACATGTAGTGTGTGTGTGTGTGTGCATCTATCAGTTACACATACATGTCAGTACATACACACAACAATTTGGTCACATGGGGGAGAGGTGTTGTGCCATGAGGTGTTGCTTTATTTGTTTTTTGAAACCAGGTTTGCTGTTCACTTGGGCTATATAAGATGGAAGGGAGTTCCATGCACTCATGGCTCTGTATAATACTGTACGTTTCCTTGAATTTGTTCTGGACCTGGGGACTGTGAAAAGACCCCTGGTGGCATGTCTGGAGGGGTAAGTGTGTGTGTCAATGTTGTGTGTAAGTTGACTATACAAACCATTTGGAATGTCCAACACATTAATGTTTCTGTGAAGTTCATCATAACTTATTTCATCTATAGCCTAATAAACTGCATGATTTCCCGAGTAATAGTGGGAGGACCACACACCATATCATCACGTGACTCCAAGATTACTTCTTTATGATGGTTACTATCAGTTGCGACCCGTCATTCAGGGCAGGTGGGGCAGAGCCCCCACATTTTTTACTAAAATTAAAAAATAGCATTAATACTTGTCACATATCAGTTTGCAAACAATGTAAAATAAAATAAAATAAATCATTGAGTTAATAAAGCCACATACAAACATTATCTCTTTTTTGCTTTCTTGAGTAAGGCAGCTGTTTCAGGCTAGCTCAGTGCTTTCTGTGGTGGTGGGGCAGCCAGTTGAAAATACTGGGCGTAGGGGTTGGTAATGTTCTCTAGTTGTGCCGTGATTGGCTCAGTGTTTCTAATTGACCTGGCCCGGGTATCGTGAATGGATATTGACCTCATTCCGTCAGTAGAGGATGCCTGGATGTTCTTCAAAAGGGCTTTCCTCTCCATCTTAAATAAGCATGACCCATTCAAAAAATTCAGAACTAAGAACAGATATAGCCCCTGGTTCACCCCAGACTTAACTGCCCTTGACCAGCACAAAAACATCCTGTGGCGTACTGCATTAGCATCGAACAGCCCCCGCGATATGCAACTTTTCAGGGAAGTCAGGAACCAATATACACAATCAGTTAGGAAAGCAAAGGTTAGCTTTTTCAAACTGAAATTTGTATCCTGTAGCACTAACTCCAAAAAGTTTTGGGACACTGTAAAGTCCATGGAGAATAAGAACACCTCCTCCCAGCTACCCACTGCACTGAGGCTAGGAAACATTGTCACCACCGATAAATCTACGATAATCGAGAATTTCAAGAAGCATTTTGCTACGGCTGGCCATGCTTTCCACCTGGCTACCCCTACCCCGGCCACCAGCTCTGCACCCTCCGCTGCAACTTGCCCATGCCCCCCCCCCCCCCCCCCCCCTGGACCCCTACAAATCAGCTGGGCTAGACAATCTGGACCCTTTCTTTCTAAAATTAGCTGCGGAAATTCTTGCAACCCCTATTACTAGCCTGTTCAACCTCTCTTTCGTATCGTCTGAGATCCCCAGAGATTGGAAAGCTGCCGCGGTCATCCCCCTCTTCAAAGGGGGTGACACTCTAGATCCAAACTGTTACAGACCTATATCCATCCTGCCCTGCCTTTAGAAAGTATTTGAAAGCCAAGTTAACAAAAAGATCACAGACCATTTCGAATCCCACCGTACCTTCTCCGCTATGCAATCTGGTTTCCAAGCTGGTCATGGGTGCACCTCAGCCACGCTCAAGATCCTAAACGATATTATAACCGCGATCGATAAAAAAAAAAGTACTGTGCAGCCGTCTTTATCAACCTGGCCAAGGCTTTTGACTCTGTCAATAACCGCATTCTTATTGGCAGACTAAATAGCCTTGGTTTCTCAAATGACTGCCTCGCCTGGTTCACCAACTACTTCTCAGATAGAGTTCAATGTGTCAAATCGGAGGGCCTGTTGTCTGGACCTCTGGCAGTCTCTATGGGGATGCCACAGGGTTCAATTCTCGGGCCGACTCTATTCTCTGTGTATATCAATGATGTCGCTCTTGCTGCTGGTGACTCTCAGATCTACCTCTACGCAGACGACACCATTTTGTATACATCTGGCCCTTCATTGGACACTGTGTTAACAAACCTCCAAACTAGCTTCAATGCCATACAACACTCCTTCCGTGGCCTCCAACTGCTCTTAAACGCTAGTAAAACTAAATGCATGCTCTTCAATCGAACGCTGCTTGCACCCGCCCGCCCGACTAGAATCACTACTCTCGGCGGGTCTGACTTGTGGACAACTACAAATACCTAGGTGTCTTGTTAGACCGTAAACTCTCCTTCCAGACTCACATTAAGCATCTCCAATCCAAAGTTAAATCTAGAATCAGCTTCCTATTTCGCAACAAAGCCTCCTTCACTCATGCTGCCAAACATGCCCTCGTAAAACTGACTATCCTACCGATCCTTGACTTTGGCGATGTAATTTACAAAATAGCTTCCAACACTCTACTCAGCAAATTGGATGTAGTCTATCACAGTGCCATCTGTTTTGTCACCAAAGCCCCATATACTACCCACCATTGTGACCTGTATGCTCTCGTTGGCTGGCCCTCACTACATATTCGTCGCCAAACCCACTGGCTCCAGGTCATCTATAAATCTCTTCTAGGCAAATCCCCGCCTTATCTTAGCTCATTGGTCACCATAGCAACACCCACCTGTAGTATGCGTTCCAGCAGGTATATCTCACTGGTCAACCTCCAGTTCTCTGCTGCAAATGACTGGAACGAACTGCAAACATCTCTGAAGCTGGAGACACTTATCTCCCTCACTATCTTTAAGCATCAGTTGTCAGAGCAGCTTACCGATCACTGCACCTGTACACAGCCCATGTGTAATTAGCCCACCCAACTACCTCATCCCCATATTGTTATTTACATTGTTATTTATTTTGCTCATTTGCACCCCAGTATCTCTATTTGCACATATCTTCTGCACATCTATCACTCCAGTGTTAATACTAAATTGTAATTATGTTGCACTATGGCCTATTTATTGCCTTACCTCCATTACTTACTACATTTGCACACACTGTAGGCCTCTATAGATTTTCTATTGTGTTATTTACTGTACGTTTTGTTTATTCCATATGTAACTCTGTGTTGTTGTTGTTTTTATCGCACTGCTTTGCTTTATCTTGGCCAGGTCGCAGTTGTAAATGAGAACTTGTTCTCAACTGGCTTACCTGGTTAAATAAAGGTGAAATAAATAAAAAAATGTATTTATTTATCCTACGGTTCTGACTTGGTGTACAGGGAGAACACTGTAAGAACGGCCCATGTTCTGAATTCTGTCACTGTACATTTCAAAAGTGCTGAACAAATAGTTATATTGACTAAGTCCGTCCTAGCTCGCTCATTAATGTCTTAATCGAAATTACGGATTGCCTCTTATCCGCTTGTCCTCCACTTATGCCATAGTTTGTACATCTCAATTGTCAGTAGAAACCACATTTGTTTAAGCAAGTCAGCCATATAAGCTATGTTTTTTTTTTAAGACAGTAAATGAGGCTGAATTAACTGTTTCGCTGCCAGACAAGGCTCCGCTGATAGCCAGGTGTAGCAGTAGTAAGGTGTTGGGATTGCTGTTGGTACTCTGCTGTTGGGACAGTTTTATGAAGGCTCTAACAGTTTGTGGTCACCGTTATAATGCAATTAATGTATTGTTTAGTGTTGTGTAGTGTAGTGTAGTGTAGTGGCTTTGCTGGCATACATCCCCCATGATTTTTGTTGTTGTTGCCCCACCCAGATTTACATGCTAAAATCGGCACATGTTATTATATCAATATTTAATAATACAAATTAAATACAAGAAGTCTGTCAGAGAGAGAGAGAGAGGTGGTAAAACAATAGGCCAAGGTACTATTAAGAGATATATGAAGCTCTTGACTGTAAAATATAATGTAACCTGCGCTAGTGTAAGTATAAAGGGGTGGGACCGAAAACTCTTCTGTGTCACCCACTGGGCTGCGTTTTAAAGCCGACGTTCGGTTCACAGAAGAGAGTTCCGCCGTGTCCGCACCTCTCCAGTCTTCATCATTTGAAAGAAAGTTCGTTTTCGCTGTCTATACGGTAAGTACATATTTTACTGTCATCTTAGGATGAGGTTAAACTAGACACAAATAAGCTATAGATTGATTGTGTTTTCGTTTTTTTTTTTACTCGAAGCTTTAGAAGATTATATCTGACACATTCAAGGGTGTATCTCGAATATAAACTAAACCTCAATAGTTATTCTTCCATTGCTGGCGGCCATTTGACAAAAATCGCTTCCTGAGACCTATTGTTGGGTTGATTGAATTGATCCATTACATTACAACCACAAGCAGGGCAGCTTGGAAACGACTAACAAACCATTATAAGAACTGTGTTGGGCAACAATATCTCCATATTTACCTATTATTACGAAAGGTTTGTAGAGTCTGCGTAGTCGTAATTTTGTGAACTGCATTTCATTGGTTGCATTTACTCCAGTGGGCTAATGGTCATTTTGACGTAAAAAGTGCTCTAAATAATAATGTGCAGGTGTACTCATGTTGAAAGAGTTTACTGTAGATCTACTAGGCTATTTCTAATGTTTTGATGTGGCATTGTGACAGAGGCAGATGTCAAAAGGGTTATTGTTGTACCAGGTATTTTCACCCCAAACTAACCTAACACAGCAGGCATGAAAGAAGCCCCAAACGGACCAGATGTATACAGTGAAATCATTGTTATCCTTGGTTAATGTTACAGCGGCACAATATGGATAACACCCCTGGACTAAAATATATTTTTTTGCATTTGAAGTGGGACTATAAATATTATTAGAATCTTTATCAACATAAACTAGTGACCGCCTGAGGCAATATGCCCTGCCCAGAGACTGATGTAGTTTGTCTCAATTTGACTTTTGGGGATGGGTTGTAGGCTAATTGTTTCAGTGGGTAAGTTGATCTCTTAGAGTAGAACACTAGCTAAAGACCCAGTGGCCCTCTCTTACTGAGTGGTGTAATTACAAAGGTGTGTGTGTGTGTGTGTGTGTGTAATTAGTTGACCTGTGAAGATTGTTCCACTGGAAAGAGTGGATGATGAAATGTGTGTTGGGTAAGCCCTCTCAGGGGGCCTTATCACATACAGTATTATTGAGAGAGTAATGCTGTTTCATCTGCTGTCAAAGCTCACCACATTGTTCAATGAAGAATGCATTACTAAGAATCCTAAGAAGTAATATAACTATTTTTATTTTCATAGCTCTTCCCATCTCTCTTGATTAAGTTTTGAAACTCTCTACAATGGCAGCGGTAAGTCCCAGCACCCAACATATGTACTGTATTAAGCTTTGTGATTGGACTAGGAATGATGGTAGTGGTCAACATTTTCATACATTTGCATGCACACTCACATTTGAATTAGGTTTTGTTTGCTTAGTCTTGGAGTTTTTTTTTCTTATCAACAGTATATTCATTCAAGTTTTCATAAAGATGGGTGATGTAATATGCTAAGGAAATCGGCCCTAAAACCTCAATCTTTACTGCTGTAGGCCAACTGACAAAACTGACAAGCCTGCTTTTTGTAAATATCAGCCATAGAGCAGACGAGGTAGTCTGGAATACACTGTGCACCGTAGATATCAGTGGAGGCTGCTGAAGGGAAGATGAGGGCTGGAACGGCGCGAATGGAATGGCATCAAACACATGGAAACCATGTGTTTGATGTACCATTCCACTCATCCCGCTCCAGCCATTACCACGAGCCCGTCCTCCCCAATTAAGGTGCCACCAACCTCCTGTGATATATATACTGGTACTATGTGTATAAATATATATATATATATATATATATATATATATATATATATATATATATATATATATATATATATATATATATATATATATATACACACACACAGTTGAAGTCGGAAGTTTACATACACCTTAGCAAAATACATTTAAACTCAGTTTTTCACAATTCCTGACATTTAACCCTAGTAAAAATTCCCTGTTTTAGGTCAGTTAGGATCACCACTTTATTTTAAGAATGTGAAATGTCAGAATAATAGTAGAGTGATTTATTTAAGCATTTATTTATTTCATCACATTCCCAGTGGGTCAGAAGTTTACATACACTCAATTAGTATTTGGTAGCATTGCCTTTTAAATTGTTTAACTTGGGTCAAACACAAACTTCCCACAATAAGTTGGGTGAATTTTGGCCCATTCCTCCTGACAGAGCTGGTGTAACTGAGTCAGGTTTGTAGGCCTCCTTGCTCGCACACGCTTTTTCAGTTCTTCCCACAAATGTTCTATAGGATTGAGGTCAGAGCTTTGTGATGGCCACTCCAATACCTTGACTTTGTTGTCCTTAAGCCATTTTGCCACAACTTTGGAAGTATGCTTGGGGTCATTGTCCATTTGGAAGACCCATTTGCAACCAAGCTTTAACTTCCTGACTGATGTCTTGAGATGTTGCTTCAATATATCCACATAGTTTTCCTTCCTCATGATGCCATCTATTTTGTGAAGAGCACCAGTCCCTCCTGCAGCAAAGCACCCCCACAGCATGATGCTGCCACCCCCGTGCTTCACTGTTGGGATGGTGTTCTTCGGCTTGCAAGCGGTCCCCTTTTTCCTCCAAACATAACAATGGTCATTATGGCCAAACAGTTCTATTTTTGTTTCATCAGACCAGAGGACATTTCTCCAAAAAGTACGATCTTTGTCCCCATGTGCAGTTGCAAACCGTAGTCTGGCTTTTTTATGGCGGTTTTGGAGCAGTGGCTTCTTCCTTGCTGAGCGGCCTTTCAGGTTATGTCGATATAGGACTCGATTTACTGTGGATATAGATAATTTTGTACCTGTTTCCTCCAGCATCTTCACAAGGTCCTTTGCTGTTGTTCTGGGATTGATTTGCACTTTTCGCACCAAAGTACGTTCATCTCTAGGAGACAGAACGCGTCTCCTTCCTGAGCGGCATGACGGCTGCGTGGTACCATGGTGTTTATACTTGCGTACTATTGTTTGTACAGATGAACGTGGTACATTCAGGCGTTTGGAAATTGCTCCCAAGGATGAACCAGACTTGTGGAGGTCTACAATTTTTTTCCTGAGGTCTTGGCTGATTTCTTTTGATTTTCCCATGATGTCAAGCAAAGAGGCACTGAGTTTGAAGGTAGGCCTTGAAATACATCCACAGGTACACCTCCAATTGACTCAAATTATGTCAATAAGCCTATCAGAAGCTTCTAAAGCAATGACATCCTTTTCTGGAATTTTCCAAGCTGTTTAAAGGCACAGTCAACTTAGTGTATGTAAACTTCTGACCCACTGGAATTGTGATACAGTGAATTATACGTGAAATGATCTGTCTGTAAACAATTGTTGGAAAAATGACTTGTGTCATGCACAAAGTAGATGTCCTAACCGACTTGCCAAAACGATAGTTTGTTAACAAGAAATTTGTGGAGTGGTTGAAAAATGAGTTTTAATGACTCCAATACATAGAAAATAAATGTATCACTGTTACTGATCCTTTTGAGACACGTATGTTTGTGCGTGTGTGTACCCATAGCCTATGTCTCAAAGTACAAGGGAGTGGGAGAGTGACTGTGATATCAATTAATGGGGCAGTTTAAACGTATGCCATATAACCTTCTCCCAATGTAGATTGGCAACCGTGGAACTGTGACGGAAGCCTCTGCTTTCAATGTAGAAGATGATGTAAACAGACTGAGAGGAGCCATGAAGGGGGCTGGTGAGTGATTCTAATGAGGTGTCAGATAGGCCGGATGTTTGCGTTTGTATCACTTTTTTTCTTCTCAGAAATAGTCTTATATCCGAAAATAGTTTGTTAACTGTCCTTTCCGTGAAAGCCTCAACCTACCTTCCTGTTATACAGTATAAGTGCAGTCACATATTTTGTAATTATTCTAGACCTCTCTACAGGACCTCTACAGGACTGTAGTTACTGAACTTTCCATTTTGATGACCTCATTCATTCCTCTAAGTGTGCCCTGAGAGTACTTTCTTTCTCCACTCCAGTATACTTGACTCATTCGTAGCCTATACAGTATTTTGCCTTTCTCCTGTTCTATTTGAAAGTTAGGATTGCATTATCGTTGCCTCAGTGATGTATATCTTGTGTATCTATGCATTTTACTGGTCTCTATGCAGTACAATGCAGAAAGAAACATTGACCATTGTAAGAAAAAAAGTTAGTGTTAAAGTTTAAAGAAAAGCCTGCACAATTTGTCTCTAAATGGTTGAATCTTGGCACCATGTTAGGAATGCTGATGCTGTTAGATAGACGTAATAGGCTTCACCTGATTCAAGTGTGAGATGTATTAGAAACCGATGGCACATACACTGAGAAACAGCTATGCCAGTGGGACCAAGGGAAGGAGCTTGGAACCAGGAAGTGTTCATGTTCAACTCTGGTTCAGCGCTTTATAACTGTGCGATATCAGGGAGATATTTCTGTCCATTATTTCTGTTGTGGAATCAAATGTTTATTGAAAATGCAGCCACACTATGGACAAGTGCCATTTTAATGTACAAGTTGTGTCAGTGTCAAGTTTTAAGATTGGTTGAGATGGTGATGTGTGAAATATTGTATTCTTAATTGCAATGATGATGATTGATGCTGTTTTGTCAATAGCAAGTTATTTTATCTTAAAATGCAGCATTATAATGTGAAGGTATACAGTAATGTTACTCTGTGATGTTTTCTTATAGGCACTGATGAGGCAGCTGTCATTGAGGTCCTGGCACGTCGTACCATTGCTCAGAGGCAACGCATCAAGGAGGCTTACAAGCAGACTGTGGGGAAGGTAATAAGTGTTATTTTTACTTATATCATTGTTTTACGTCAGCGCGACGATTCGTCCTGCACTGGTTGAGGGACGACGAGCTTCCGTTGGAGTGACGCCACCTGTCGTACGCAATGGACTATACCTGTGTTATTATGACATTTCTCATATGCCAGTTTGAATTATCAGACTATTCTTAAGTTTCCCAAAGCTAAACAATGCCAGCTCCAGTAATTGAGGAAGAATATTTAGATATTCTTATATTAGATATAGTTAAAGTGCATGGCAGGAGTATGCAGGGATTGGGTAAATAGTTATATTTACCATCTTCTGTCCTGGTGTGTGTTTTTTGTGTTACTATGGGTGTGGTGGTGTCTGTCTGGTGTTAATGTTTACATTGTGCTGACAGTTGGTGCCTCGGGTTCATCATTAACTCTTACAAACAGATGGTTTTGTAGACAGAGGATAGAGAGAGGGTTATCTACCTTCAAAGATTAGGTGAATAATACTCCTCTCATGAGGGTTGAAGACCAGTTTCAGTCAGGATATTGCATTGTGTGTTTAAGTGAAGTAGGCAGATTACAGAATGACAGGCCCTATGTTAAATAATCACTAAACTCAACATTTAAAACCGAAAGGGAAGTCTGATCAATGTTTACTCACTGGTGGGTGCTTATATCTGTCCTATTTCACACATGTACAAGTGTGTCATTTATATCCGTGAATTGGAAATGTGTTTTTTGCATATCCCACTCTCCCTGAGAGGATGTCTCAGCCATTATGAACAGCGACCCTCAAGGGCACATCCACAGCTTTTTCACCTTATCAGCAACCTTTCGGTTACATCAACTTTTCGGTTAAACTCTAACCGCTAGGCTACCTTCTGCCCTACTGACACTGTGAGATAGGAGCTGTCATGGGGTCTGGCGAAAAAATTAATTGTTAATAAAGTTATCTTGGCCCATGAATGAATGAGAATGCTTGCCACAGGGAAGGGCAAATATTGCTAGTGGAATCCTCCTGGTCAGAAACAGGAAGACATACAGTGTGTGGGGACGCCCAGACAGACAAGGTCACGGGCAGCAGGTGTTTGAATGTTAAATAACGAGGCAGAGGCATTGATGCGAGTAACCAGTCTTGTTCAGTATATTGCAATACATCCGGGTATCTCAAGTACACCGGTAAAACACTGGAGTTGCAGTAATGAACATTTACCAACAGATGGCATCAATGTGCCATCTTCCACCCATAACAGCAGGCTCACGAAGAAGCTCACTCTGTTTACTAGGTACGTTGTGTGTCCAGATCCTCTGCAGCCACACCCTTCTGGCAGTATAATTGTATCTGGAATGTGCTAGGTAAGACAATCTGAGATATGAGTGTATTGGAGAAATAGTGTATGCTGAGTTGAGCACTAGGCAGGGGATTGTGTCCATTGGACCCATTTTAAATGTCTATGTGTGATGTCCCTGTAGGACCTGGCGGACGATCTGCAAGGAGAGCTGACGGGGAACTTTGAGAAAGTGGTGCTGGGCCTCCTGATGATCGCTCCTAAGTATGACGCTTACGAGCTGAAGACCGCTATAAAGGTCAGAGGTTATTACTGCCAGGGAGACCATCACAATGGGGAATTATGTAACGCTTGTCAATACTGTACGTCTCATAGCTATTGACGTTGCTTGGGGCTATTCACCTCCTCCACCACCCATAATGTGTTGCCTGACACTACTCTATGAACTATTTCCATAGCTCTCCACATGTCTTTTACTGAATGCTAGGGTGCTGGAACAGTGGAGACGGCTCTCATTGATATCCTGGCCTCAAGGACGAACGCTGAAATTAGAGCTATCACGGAGGTCTACAAGAAAGGTACATCACAGTACACAGCCTCTCTGTGCAATGTATTGAATCTCCATCTGTAGAAGAGTGCTGTGTTTAAACAGGAAGCCCAACTCCGATCTCCTTTTTATTTATTTTATTTTTTTTACAAGTTGGTCTTTTGACCAATCAAATCAACTCTGAAAAATATCTGTGATTGGTCAAAATACCAATTAGTTTAAAAAAATATCAGAATTGGGCTGCAGCCCACGTATCACATGCAGTGTATGGTACAAGTCAATAGCTTAGTATTAATCGCTGTATATAAAGAGGAAATCTGATCTAAGATATCGGTGTCTAGTTCTCTTTAGAGTGTACGGGAATTATTAGTGTTTTCTATACAGCAATATTAAACTTTTGTTACATAACTATTGACAGGGTGTTCACAAACTGTTTCAAGTGTTGTGGTTATAACTGCCTAGTCAGACCACTGGTCTTAGATAATTCTTAACTCCTACTTCTTTTTGCTCAATCATGTGACGACAGAACATGGGAAGAGCCTGGAGGACGATATTGAGGGTGATACTTCTGGAATGTTCCAGAGGGTTCTGGTCTCTTTGCTCACAGTGAGAATCTTCCAATATTGACCTCTCTATGTACACACCTGATTCACCTTCACATTCCAACAATCAAAGGAAAGCAAACAGAACTACAGTACATGGATTGTTGTAAGGGAAATAGTCCGTCCCCCTTCACTTCATCCCTTATGTACAGTTTAACACATAATGGATGTTTTTAGAGGTCTCTTATAGCCAAAGTAATGATCATGTCATTGTCTGACTTTTTGCTAACATGGTCTCTGTCTCTGTGCTTTGACTGACAGGCGGGGCGAGATGAGAGCAACACTGTGAATGAGGCTCAGGCTGTGCAGGATGCTAAGGTGAGAATATGGACCCAGAGAGGAGGTGACCTGGCTCTGTCTAACTTAGTAGCACATGCTGGGGTATCAGGATCACCCCAAGGTTAGGAAGATGATCAACTTTAGACATTGTTTTTTCAACCTAATCTGACATCAAATACCGTGCCTTCAGAAAGTATTCACATCTCTTGACTTTTTCAAAATGTTGTTGTGTTACAGCCTGAATTTAAAGTGCATACATAGAGATGTTTTTGTCACTAGACTACACACACAATATTCCATAATGTCAAAGTGGAATTATGTTTTTTGAAATTTGTACAAATTAATTAAAAATGTAAAGCTGAAATGTCTTTGAGTCAATAAGTATTCAACCCCTTTGTTTTGGCAAGCCTAAATAAGTTCAGGAGTAATAATGTCCTTAACAAGTCACATAATAAGTTGCATGGACTCACTCTGTGTGCAATAATAGTGTTTAACATGATTTTTGAATGACTACCTCATCTCTCTACCCCACACATACAATCATCTATAAGGTCCCTCAGTCGAGCAGTGAATTTCAAACACAGATTAAACCACAAAGATCATGGAGGTTTTCCAATGCCTCGCAAAGAAGGACACCTATTGGTAGATGGGTAACATGACCCGCTCCTTAACACCCGCCAGCTTAACCCGGAAGCCAGCCACACCGGAGGAAACACCGTTCAACTGGCATCAGCCCGCAGGCACCCGGCCCGCCACAAGGAGTCGCTAGAGCGCGATGAGCCAAATAAAGCCCTACCGGTCAAACCCTCCCCTAACTTGAACGACGCTGGGCCAATTGTGCGCCGTCCTATGGGACTCCTGGCCACGGCCGGTTGTGGCCACTCCATATTTTCAAGCATAGTGGTGGCTGCATCATATTATGGGTATGCTTGTAATCGTTAAGGACTGGGGAGTTTTTCATGATAAAAAATAAACGGAATGGAGATAAGCACAGGCAAAATCCTAGAGGAAAACCTGGTTGAGTCACCTTTCAGCAGGACAATAACCTAAAACACAAGGTCAAATCTACGCTGGAGTGGCCGAGTTACAGTTTTTACTTAAATCTGCTTGAAAATCTATGGCAAGACCTGAAAATGGTTGTCTAGCAATGATCAATAACCAATTTGACAGAACTTGAAGAAATATGAAAAGAATAATGGGCAAATGTTGCACAGTCCAGGTGTGGAAAGCTCTTAGAGACTTACCCAGAAAGATTCACAGCTATATTTGCTGCCAAAGGTGATTCTAACATGTATTGACTCAGGGAGTTGAATACTAATCCAAATATATTAGTGTTTTATTTTTCATATATTTTCTTTTAAACAAATGTACAAAATTGTCTTCCACTTTGTGTTTAAATCGTTGACAAAAAAATGACAGTTAAACCCACTTTGTAACACAACAAAATGTGGAAAAAGTCAAGGGGTGTGAATACTTTCTGAAGGCACTGTATGTCCCAAAAACAGTCTAAGTGTTTGGAGATTGACCTTTTGGGTTTGTAAAATGGTTTTGCTGTGGGTTCTCAGGATATCTACGAGGCTGGGGAGGCTTGTTGGGGAACAGATGAGGTCAAGTTCCTCACTGTGCTCTGTGTGAGGAACAGAAACCACCTACTCCGAGGTAATTGCGCCACATTAGTGTCTCTTATAGCGGAGTTAGTTAATAATAATAATAAGCCATTTAGCAGATGCTTTTATCCAAAGCGACTTACAGTCATGTGCGCATACATTTTTACATATGGGTGGTCCCGGGGATCGAACCCACTACCCTGGCGTTACAAGCGCCGTGCTCTACCAATTGAGCTACAGAGGACCACAGTTAGATCCTGTTTTGGGAGTGGGAAGTTATCAAATTTGCCCTTTGTGTTTTTATGATTCAGTGCATTCAAGTTGTTTATTACTTATTTGTAACTCTTTACAGTGCTGTACTTCAGTAAAGATAAGATTTACTTCCGCATTGATTTTTCTACAGAAATTAATGTACAGACACAGTTCTGCTGTCCTCTTGTGGTGATTTTGGGAACAAATATTTTATAATGTGCTTACGGCTTACTCATTCCAACAGTTGAATTGATTCCACATCTCTCTCTGCCTCTCTCATTCCCTCAGTGTTTGAGGAGTATCAGAAGATCTCTGGGAGGGACATCGAGGATAGCATTAAGAGGGAGATGTCTGGCTCTCTGGAGGATGTCTTCCTGGCAATAGGTCTGTCCGACGGATCCAATTTGTTTCACTGCCTCTTGTAATAATGTATCGAAGACAGATCCCACTGGAGGTCAAACTGGTTGAATCAACATTGTTTTTATGTCATTTCAACCCCAAAATTAAATGTGATGACGTTGAATCAACGTGGAAAACTGATTTTATTTGCAAAAAGTAATCAATTTAAGGGAATTTCATATATATTTTTTTTCTAAATCCAATTTTTGCTTGATTTCACGTTGAGTTCACATTAGTTGACAACTCAACCAAATGTAAATCAAAACTAGAAGTTGAACTGATGTCTCTGCCAAGTGGGATAAGGTTTGACTAAGAGTCAGATCAGTTCTGATGAAAATAAGCACATAAAGAGTATGCTGAACCAGACTGTAAGGGCACAGTGCTATAATACTCATTTGAAACTAAAGCTTGTTCAGCTACCCTGCCTTATATATCGATCTGTTTTATTTTTTGCAGTGAAGTGTCTCCGAAACAAGCCAGCATTCTTTGCAGAGCGGTTATACAAATCCATGAAGGTAAAGGTTTTGAAATTGAGGCTTTTTAAAAAAATACTCTCCCATGGAGTGTGCATATCTGCCTACACTTGTGGGTTATCAGACAGCATTTATGTCAGAATGTTGACAGCTCCCTCCCTCTTGTCTCCTCAGGGTCTGGGAACTACAGACAGCATCCTGATTAGAATCATGGTGGCTCGGGCCGAGATTGACATGTTGGACATCAAGGCCGAGTTCTCTAAGGCGTACGGCAAGACTCTCCATTCCTTCATCAAGGTGAGACCCTGGTCAAAAGAGATTGAGTAATGATTTATCTCATAAAAAGTAAAAGTTAGATTTGTGCCCATTTCTTTCTGTTATCTTGAAGTAATCCGAGTATGTCTGTATTGTTAAGGGAGATGTATCTGGAGATTACTGCAAAATCCTGCTGGAGTTGTGTGGAGAGTAGGACATCGAACATCGAGGACATCATTCAGTGATGACTTCACTCTGCAACAACACCATTGGTGCCTCTCCTATCTGCTGTTTCCTTTGCTTCCAGCTCTCTCAATATCCTCTGCTCTTCTGTTGTCCCAACATTTCAGAGACTGACCATGATGCCTTTTTTCACAGTTTGTAATACTAATTAAACCAAAGACAAGTGACATTTTACACCTGCCTGCATCTCTTTATTGATCCCCTGCTACAGCTTTAATTAGTGTTGTTGGTTAGAGAGAGAGAGAGAGAGCTGTTGCCACACATCTCAGGAAGCATAAAATATGGACCTTATTGACCTCTGCCTTCCACCTCTGTCTCAGCAGAAGGCCATTTTCATCACTGACTGATTGAAGTCTGTTTAATTAATTAGTATGAATGGCTCGTTTGTTGAGTCAGCGCTGAGTCATTTGATTCAATTAACTTAATTGGATGTTAGTCTGATTTGGAATGAAATAAAGTATGTAGTTAATCAATTCAGGCAGGCTCTCATACATCTACAGCCTAATCACAGAGAGTTGTGAGAATGAAACGCTGATATGTTGAATCCTTCAACTGCATGACTTCGGAAACAGTTGCATCATTCTATATGGTAAATTGTCTTGAATATAAGCTTTTGTACAAGCGCAAGTACACAGCCTTGTTGGGAATTGAACAGGAATTTCATCAGTACACACATCTAGTTAACATTCTATAAGCCTATTTTGTGGTTTGTTTTCACACTGCCAAAGCTCCATGGGAATTTTGTGTTTTGTTTGGGTTGTTTTAAATCAAACCTGGGTTCTAGTACTCTGTGAGGTTCCTATATATCAAGTTCCGGGTCCAGGCTGTTATACAGGCTATTGTAGTGAAATTGATCAGACCACAACCCTATCACACCTACGGTCAACATTCCAGTGACACAAATGATCCAGTGTTAACCAGCACTGGTAATTACACCGCGACGTGTCTCCACTTCACACAATATGGGGTTGATGCTGTATGTCCATCTTTATACCAGGTGATGAATACCCAGGTTGGTGTTCCATGTCAGGGTACAATTACCACTAAGACAAACATGTCACAGAAAGGGAAGCCCTGTTGTTGCAATACTGTTGTTAAAGCATTGTGGTCGTGGATTGTTGTTTGAAACACAGACAGACAGGAAAACACTATTGATTTGAATTCCTTCAAAGAGGAGACGTGCAGCATGAAGCGTAAGACACTGTCTGCAGTCTATTCAAAAGATTAAGAAGACAAAAGCAAGATTTTTTCTGCACAGAGAAAATGTAACGGAACTGCAGCTTAACCCCATAATGAGATCATGTGAATAGATATTCTATGGTCATTAAATTCACATGAGATTATAATGTCAATACCATCAGCAAATTTTTTTAAAAAGATCTTCAATTTAAGTCTTTCAGGATCAGTGACTGTGAGGTCTGAGGGGGGAAAAGTCTGAACTCTGAAGGTAAGGTAAGGGTTGAAAGGTCAGTGGAAAGGTGTGCCTGGGTTCTGTCTCTCCTCCCTGTGTGAACCTTCACACCCTGACTCCTCCCCCTGCTGGAGGCTATGATCTGGTCTTAATGGCCATGTACTCTTATAATCTCCCCCCGGCACAGCCAGAAGAGGACTGGCCACCCCTCAGAGCCTGGTTCCTCTCTAGGTTTCTTCCTAGGTTCCTGCCTTTCTAGGGAGTTTTTCCTAGCCACGTGCTTCTACATCTGCATTGCTTGCTCTTTGGGGTTTTAGGTTGGGTTTCTGTATAAGCACTTTGTGACATCTGCTGATGTAAAAAGGGCTTTATAAATACATTTGATTTGATTTTATATGGTCTGTGAGGAAGGTTTATCCACAGTGTGAGCCTGAACCGCACACTGGTGGACTGGAGATCAGTAACAGAAGTCAAGCATATAAAAGATTAATGGAACAGAACTCAAAGTCACCAAAAGCCAAGGCAGAAGAACATGGGAAGAATCATCAGTATGCTATCTGAAGTTTCTGAAGACTGTCAACCTATAGCATCAGCTTATACCATGGGAAAACTGGTGAAGACTTAGATGTTGTTTCTTCTGCCACACAGAAAGCAAAAATAAGAGAAGATGCCTTTTTGCAATAGACAAAACCACAGAGTTGGCTCTGCAAGATACATTTAGGTCACACTGCATGCAGCTCGTGCATGGAGAGAGATGAGCTAGAAGGCTGCTCTGCATGACCAACTTCCGTACAAGAGATCATAACTTGTTGAATGTTTTGAAGAGGGACAGTTTTTTTCTTATGTCCTCCACCAAGGTGACATCAAACAAACAAATAAACTCTCCAGGAGCACTTCACTCAGGTATGGTTGTTGTGACATATTCATTTTTCTCTATTGATGGAGTTGTTTTTATTATTGGCTAAGTCGTTTATTTTATAATACTTAATTAATCATAATTAATAAGCTATAGTAGGGTCAGTAGAAAACAGATATACAGTGTACATATTAAAATGCTTTAGTTTAAAGAATTCAAATGAAAACATCAACATATTATGTGTCTTGAATTTTGAGGCACTAAAAGTTTAGTTATTAGTATTATTTACTTAGGAAGCTTTTGGATTATCCAAACCTTGCTTTTTGTTTTGCTGTTGTTGCTCTCTGTTCTCTATGTCAAGAAAAAAACGGGAAAAGGTCCAACCATGGAGAATACATCTTCTGAGGCAGATCTAACTTGTCTGCTGTGAGCTGCTGCAGTTTGACAAATGTCTCCCTATTTTCTCTCAAGTCTCGATGATGCACCCAGTCAAAGTGCTTTCATGCAGGCACCTTATGCACTTTGCGCATCAAAATCATATCACTTCAAGAATATACAGTGGGGAAAAAAAGTATTTAGTCAGCCACCAATTGTGCAAGTTCTCCCACTTAAAAAGATGAGAGAGGCCTGTAATTTTCATCATAGGTACACGTCAACTATGACAGACAAATTGAGAAAAAAAAATCCAGAAAATCCCATTGTAGGATTTTTAATGAATTTATTTGCAAATTATGGTGGAAAATAAGTATTTGGTCACCTACAAACAAGCAAGATTTCTGGCTCTCACAGACCTGTAACTTCTTCTTTAAGAGGCTCCTCTGTCCTCCACTCGTTACCTGTATTAATGGCACCTGTTTGAACTTGTTATCAGTATAAAAGACACCTGTCCACAACGTCAAACAGTCACACTCCAAATTTCACAATGGCCAAGACCAAAGAGCTGTCAAAGGACACCAGAAACTAAATTGTAGACCTGCACCAGGCTGGGAAGACTGAATCTGCAATAGGTAAGCAGCTTGGTTTGAAGAAATCAACTGTGGGAGCAATTATTAGGAAATGGAAGACATACAAGACCACTGATAATCTCCCTCGATCTGGGGCTCCACGCAAGATCTCACCCCGTGGGGTCAAAATGATCACAAGAACGGTGAGCAAAAATCCCAGAACCACACGGGGGGACCTAGTGAATGACCTGCAGAGAGCTGGGACCAAAGTAACAAAGCCAACCATCAGTAACACACTACGCCGCCAGGGACTCAAATCCTGCAATGCGAGACGTGTCCCCCTGCTTAAGCCAGTACATGTCCAGGCCCGTCTGAAGTGCATTTGGATGATCCAGAAGAGGATTGGGAGAATGTCATATGGTCAGATGAAACCAAAATATAACTTTTTGGTAAAAACTCAACTCGTCATGTTTGGAGGACAAAGAATGCTGAGTTGCATCCAAAGAACACCATACCTACTGTGAAGCATGGGGTTGGAAACATCATGCTTTGGGGCTGTTTTTCTGCAAAGGGACCAGGACGACTGATCCGTGTAAAGGAAAGAATGAATGGGGCCATGTATCGTGAGATTTTGAGTGAAACCCTCCTTCCATCAGCAAGGGCATTGAAGATGAAACGTGGCTGGGTCTTTCAGCATGACAATGATCCCAAACACACCGCCCGGGCAACGAAGGAGTGGCTTCGTAAGAAGCATTTCAAGGTCCTGGAGTGGCCTAGCCAGTCTCCAGATCTCAACCCCATAGAAAATCTTTGGAGGGAGTTGAAAGTCTGTGTTGCCCAGCGACAGCCCCAAAACATCACTGCTCTAGAGGAGATCTGCATGGAGGAATGGGCCAAAATACCAGCAACGGTGTGTGAAAACCTTGTGAAGACTTACAGAAAACGTTTGACCTGTGTCATTGCCAACAAACGGTATATAACAAAGTATTGAGAAACTTTTGTTATTGACCAAATACTTATTTTCCACCATCATATGCCAATAAATTCATAAAAAATCCTACAATGTGATTTTCTGGGAAAAAAATTCTCATTTTGTCTGTCATAGTTGACGTGTACCTATGATGAAAATTACAGGCCTCTCTCATCTTTTTAAGTGGGAGAACTTGCACAATTGGTGGCTGACTAAATACTTTTTTTCCCCACTGTAATTTAATACTCTGAAAAAAACTGAAAGTAGATTAGGAGAGTAAGAGAGAAGCTATTAGGTGACAGACTGCATGGTTTTATTTCACCTTTTTGACCTGCTAAGTAGAAACTGAGCCATCACTTAACTTGTGATTAAATGAGTCCCTGTCCTGTGTTCTTCAGGGCTTTCTGAGCGGTCATCTGACTGACTGTGGAGAGTATGAACAACCACAGTTCTGGATCGTACCACCCTCCGGCTGAACCATTGGTGGTGCCTGTTCTGGTGGTCATTATCTTCATGACAGTTGCTGGCAACCTACTGGTCATCCTCACCATCGCCCGCACCCTCCACCTCCAGACCACCACCAACATCTTCGTCACCTCCCTGGCCTGCGCTGACCTCATCATGGGATGCCTGGTGCAGCCGCTGGGGGCCTCCCTGGTGGTGACGGGGGACTGGCTCCTCAGCGGCACAGCCTGTGAGCTCTGGACGTCCTTGGATGTCCTCTGTGTGACGGCCAGCATTGAGACGCTGTGCACCATCGCTGTGGACCGCTATATCGCTATCACGCAGCCCCTCAGGTACCAGTCTCTGCTGGGGAAACGCCGGGCGCGGCTCATGGTGTGTGTTGTGTGGGGTGTGGCGGCCCTTGTCTCCGTTGTCCCAATCATGAGCCAGTCGTGGCGTGCTCATAACGACACAGAGAGCACACGGTGCTACGAGGAGCCATGCTGCTGTGACTTCATCACCAACATGCCCTATGCCATCGTGTCCTCCGT